ATTATCTCCCTGGGCGGACACTAGGAAGCATTCCATGTAAAGGTTTTTATTAAAGGAAAAGGCAGTCCAGACATCGTACTTGACCGTGACTTTAACGCCAAACAATACACAAATAGAAATTGGGAAGGGATAGTTGTATCCCTGTGACAGTTGGCCTACTGATTCAATATCAGAAAACACAGGCAAGGTCAGATATTGCAGTCTCTATAATGAAATACATGACTTAGAAACAGAAGACAATCATTCCATTACAGTATCAACCCTCTTTCGAAGGTAAGTATTGTACTTTGGGTGAATCAAATCTTGACCGTATTACATTTTTCACATCTTAAACACATTGTAAAAACTTGCAGTATGTACTGTGATGACATACCAATCTCATGTCATGAGTAAAGGTACATATATCAAAAGGAACACTGATGCTTGGTAACAAATGGCATCTTTATAATCCTTGATGAAATAGTATACAACATTATTATGGTAAATAATAGTTTTCTATTCAGCCAATTCTGAGGTTGATCTTGCAAAATAAATACTACTATATTGTACTAAAGAATTACCAAGTGACTGTCATGCCATCAGCAAAACTGTCTTGACCATTACTGACACAGATTCTCATTTAATGTGACATTTAATGACTATCAATTAACCTTTATCGGAGTCAAGGATCCTTGAAGACAAAGCCTATCACAACACCTCCTTAAAACTTACAAACACACCTAATGTCAGAAAGATTTATTGGGAGAGGAAATGCGACGTTTATGTTATGAAATATTTATCAATTCAAAAAAACATTCTCCTTTTGTTCACCTTCCAAACAAAATTAACTTTCAGAGCATGACTGGGCAGAAACAAAGTACAGCAAATACATAAAGTTGGAAGCCAGATTACTATAAGGCACTTTGTATTAAATGGGCTTTTACCACAAGGACATTTTTGGTAACATTGTTTTCAATCTCTATTACAAAGCAGAAAGGATGAGGTCAGGCATAGTAATAAGTGGAAGAATTTATCATAGCAAGTCCACTCATACATCAGAAAGGCAGAGTAATTGGCAAATGTGCCCAATATCATCCTTCTCATGTACCTTAAGCAGAAGAAAATTCTTAGAGCAATACCGCCATCTGCTGCAAAAGGGAACAACCACAGCCGCAAGCGCAAGTGGGAGGCATACTGTTGCCCCAAAGTTAAAGCAACATACTATCTGTGAAACACAATTAAGTGACACTTCAAAATACTGCTGATTTGAAAATAGAAAAATATGATGAAGATTTAATGATTGACTTTAACAAGTATTCAAGACAAACTAAGCTTGTAACTAATGTGGAGTAATAGCAGGGAATTTAGAGATGCTTCTTTTATATTAGTGACCAACATTTGTTGTTCAACTATGTATTGAAAAAGCTGCAAGGTCAGACACAGTTGTTTCAATTATGTTTTACCAGTGATATTTAAATCAGTTACTTCACAGGTGAGATCACCGATATCTGCATTACGCTAAAAATATTTCCTATTTACTAAACATATTCAAGCACAGACCCAACAATACAATGTGGAACTCCTTTGAAAGGGGCAAGAAAGGAAGGCTTTGATATTAAAAATACATACTGACAGCACAGAAGACACCACCATGAGTTTCAAGGACTGACAAAATCAAAAATAAATCTGAGCCATTATTGCTTCATGACAGCTTGTGGCTGACATCTCATCATGTCCAAGTCAGAAGCATCAGACATTTACAATTAGCATGGTACATAATTTGAGTCACATCCTCAAAAATGGATTGGGTTTTGTGAGACACAGCAGACGTCTGCAGACCCCCACCTTCCCTACTAGGACGGACCAAAAGCGGCCCTTTGAAGACGGTGGCTCTGTTTACCAGATAGATTTCATTAAATTAAGCTTACATTAGGCCTCATCTTTGCATGATCAAAGCCACTACTAAGAGCCATTCCACCTTGCTTCCCCTGAGTTGAACAAGTCAACTCCATCAAACCGTATTTTTATTGTCCTTATTAATGTTTTGTTTTTTTCAAACTTTGACTTACTCTTTTTTTTTGGTCAGACTGGCATCCCCTTTAGCTGCTGCAATGCCCGTTTGCCGTTATCCAGCACCTTTAAGACCCCCACTGTCCCCTCTATTATCGCAATGAAGCGGTCAGCCAAGCCAACAAAGCTACATCTCATATATACACCTTTGGGATGCCCGTTTGATAAGTTGTCTTCCTGGATGAAATGGCTGGGTTACTGAGGTCGACTCGGGCCCTGTCTGGAAAGGAGCAGGAATGAGGTCTCAAGCTGGCACACCGGTGGTAGGAAGACTTCAAACCACGGGTGAATGGGAGGATGAGAGAGCAGGTTAAGGGGGGAGACACCCGTGGGAGCCAGTAGGGGGTGGGGTTGGGGGAAGATTGGGTAGTGAGGGAGTGGGAAAGGCCTTGATATCCACGGAAAGCACAACAAAGACAGAGCTTTTTACATTAAAAAGAAAGGAGATTGCCTTTTTTCCACTAGACGCCTTTCGAGCAGTGTGTCATGTCCTCCCTAGGCCAGCAGGAAGAGAGAGGCAGAGCTCGGCTATAGCATTTGGCACATCTGAGGAACATCTGAGGGGGCTGAAGTTCTTGCCTTCTGAACACTTGCATCAGATTTACAGGAGATCAGATATACTAGATGTTAGATGTGAGGTGGGTGATCCTGGTTTAAATGTACACTGATCTGACCACACCACACACAGAGGTGTAAAAATGAAAATGACTCTATCAAAGTGGGAAGTCACAGTTACAAGCAGGACAATATTCTTCTGTTGTTTATCCACTAGGACTATCCTACTGCTACCTTCTGCTTTGCATTTCAGTATTGTGGGCCTTGACACATACAACTTAAGTATGCAGTGATTATTTAACAATTTAGATGTAATCATGTTCTGGTTGTGGCCTCTGCATGCAAGGTTTGGCTTTATAAAGTGGATGGAGGGATTTTCTTTTCCAATTTCAAGAAAGAAAATTTCCGCACATAAGCCCCTAAAACGGGCATAAAAATGCAAGTAATGAAAATTAGCACCAATATTAGCCACAGCAGGTGTCAACTGCTTGATGATTAAGCACGGTAAGTGTGGGGAGAAGAAAAGTTAAAGATTAATCATCAGCCAATTAAATGCCCATGGCGAGGAAAGTAAACTGTCTTGGCACAGAGAGCTCCTCTGTGATCTCAGTAAGCACATCTCGGTAGTGTGCTTACAGATCACTTGCACATGATATAAGCATCCAAATGGGTTGTTTATGCATGTTTACTTGTTTGTTCTGCATTTGGAATAGTGATGGACTGGGGATGTATTCCCTCATTTAATTCAATACAGATTCTAAAAAAACATTTTTTTGTGATTAATATTAGATATTTAAGAAAATGTGTAGGATAAGGATTAGGGTAAAATATGAGAGGGTTTTAATTGGCTGTGAATGCTGCAAGCATTCACAGCCTATGTTATTCAGATTATTGTTGTTTGTCAGTGGTAGGTAAGGGCATAGGCTGTGGTAGTATGAGACAAAGAATGTTAGGATACGGATGAGTTGTATGCCAAAATGTCCAGTTTCTCACATTTTGAAAATTCTATTTTGTTCAAATGGGATTCTAAAAACTTTCATTCCATTTTGTAACACAAAAACATTTGACACTTGAAATTCTGACTAGAATGTACCATTAATTCCTGAAATCCTCTCCTTCAAGCATTAGCTACTCAACAATAAATGATCTACAAAGTGAAGAAAAAGTTCACATATAAGAAGGAAAGCTACACCTTCAACTAATTTAAAAGGTTTTGCTGATTGTCTTGCCAAAATCTTACGGTATCAAAACTTCATTGGAACCACATTAACAACAAGGTGAAATGTGGCACCAATCTCAGGTCAGCATCTTGTCAATTCAAGTTCTTAAAATGTCCAATTCAGTATTTATCTTTCCAACCCGTTCTGTGGTTGTGGATATATTTCACATCGTATTTGATTTGTGGAAGGACTTGACTGCTCTCGAGCTCAAGGTCAGTTGCTTTTACACAACAGGTTTATTATCGTGTTGTGAGCACCGGCACAACATATCTGACAACAGAAAACAATAACAGACAACAGACAAAATAAAGATATTATTAAAGATACATATTTTTGCAAGGTCAAGATTTGAATACAAACAAGGAATTGAAAGATGCTTTTCCAACTCAGGGTAATAAGAAAAGCTACGATGGTTAAAAAAAAAACAAAAAAAAACAAAAAAAAAACAAGGAAGCAATGGAATTACGGTAAATAATTGCTTATTTTTATCATATTATTGATTAAGTGAAATACCTTGAGCAACATTGGGAGTCAACAATGTGGACTAAAAGCAAGGGACCCACAAGACTGGACAGTTCATTAAGCTTTGATAGAGGCTACAGACCAAGTCAAGACATACAGTGATTTATGAATTACTAAACAAGGCCAGATACTGCAGCAACAACACAACCTGTTCTCAATAGGCATCACTTGCAAGTTCAAATACAAACTCTGAATTAACCTCTGTGAATGCACCACTGAACTTCAGCATAGGACTGTGTGTGTGTGTGTGCGTGCGTGTGTGTGATGTGTCCCTACTCTACTTGAGTAGAGACTGCTTTTTGAGGGTTAATACTTTTGGGGTTCAGGTTAGAATCAGGTTAAGGGTAGGCATGTACTTGTGACTACGACTAGATTAAGGGGCTAGGGAATGCATGTCCCCACAGATGATAGTTTGTGTGTAGAGAAGGGAGAGTTTGGTTGATGGGGCAAACAATGGATGTGTGTATAAAGCCACAAAGGACTCGAGAAGAGGACAACTTATGACTGCAGTATGTCACGTGCATGGACAGTATATTGTGTATACAGATGCATATTTTAAAAGTCAAACTTTAAAAGAGGATTTGCTCAATGTTGATGATGTACATTATATTTGTCATATTTGATTTATAAAGATTTAAGAAGGTGTTTACTCACAAAGTCTTTCTCGAGCTTCTCTATCTCCTGCTTGTAGCTCTTCAGTCTGCTGTTGTACATGGCTCGGCTCTGGATGGGGATCTCCCGCACCTCCAGGTCCATCTGCTCCAGCTAAAACCAGCAGTTAATCAAGTTAAATTGACAAGCACTTCAATTTCACAGATAAAAACTAATTTTGAATATGTATTACATTCACAGGTTTAGTGTTCCAGGTAACAAACCTGGTAAAATTTTTGATTAAAATCTATTTTAAAGCGCTCTTGATAAGATTCTAAAAAATCTAGGCTTCTTCATCCTCTAATGATCATATTTCTCTTACCATCAACGCATTTCTGTAAATGCCATATTGTAAAGTCTCAAAAACAGCTACTTATCAGTGACAAAAAGCTGTTCAAGACAGAAACTGTGACAACTCTGAAAATATGAAACTTTGTGAAATGAGAAACTTCAGCTGCATTAACTTTAATGTGTTCCAATGTTGATTGTAAAAAGAAAAAGTCTCCTGCTCACGTCACTCAGCTGTGATAAAAAGTTGCGACAGAGGAAGGCTGTTCTGTAAATAAATACACAATCAAATATGAGGGCCCCTTCATTGCAGAGACACGCACAGGCCCAACAATGTCACAGCGAATGAAGTAAAAGTACATTTGATGCATGGCTAGACAGGTCTCAGCGTGGTGGATTTGGAGGTAACTAATCACTGTGACATAACAAGACAACTGCAACAACAATTTGTCTCTGTCAGGTGACTTTGCTCGTTTTTAAACAGGCAACATGAAGACTCCCACCTCAAGATAATGGCTTGAAATGTGTCATAGGGGTGTCACTTAAAAGCAGATTACTGGAAAGTAATCGTGTGAGGAGGAAGCCTCCTTTCTGCCATGTGAAGCGTGTGCGTGTCTGCATGTCATGTCACCAAAAGGATAATACAGGTGCCGTTGTCTGGTGGCAGGGAAAATGGTCCCCTCCCTCTTTGCACAAATTCATTATTTAGAAAATGGGAAGAGGAGAAAATTACTGATCAAAGACATACCAACTCTCTGACTTCTTCAAGCTGTTTGTCGACATTTAGAACCAGCTGTGTCTTCTCCTCTGAAAGGGAAAAAAACAGCAACATATTGATCAGCCGACAGAGGAACAGCGCTTCATGACAACAACCTAACTCCCCCGCAACGGGGGAAGAGAGGGGGAGAGAGAAAGAAAGAGACTGGGAGAAAACAACACACGAGGACACATTTGAAGATATATTTACACATTCTCTCTACACGACGAGCCAACATTTGATGTCTCTTAGTTATTGGCGTCTATGAGGCCTTTGTTGGTTTCTGTTGAGGAGCAGTGAGACACCTTGTGCCAACTCAAAGGGAAGGGAGGTGTCAGCTTTGCTCACTTGCCAGAAGTATGAGTCCCACTCAGAATGACTAACGCGCCGCTCTACACCTCACCCCGTGGCTGCTCTTCCACATTACCCATTGAAACTCATTATGACTTGCGAGAGTTCCAAAGAAGCATGTAAACTACTGTACATCTCATCGTTATCCAAGGCAGCAACAATACCACATGATTTCTGTACATATAAGGACTGGCCTCTGTTCTGATATTAGCTCTTTGCCATGGAAGTGAACCACATGACATGTAGAGGTCTGGTCTGGTACTTTAGCAATCAAGCATCATTAACGCAACATATTTTATTGGGGATTGTTAACATGAACAAAGACTCAGATCTCCCAAATTCATACTTTTTAATAATTCTAAACAATTTTATATACTACACAGCAATCGGCACAATGAACTGATTTAGCATCTTGTATTATTGCTAGGCGATATGGCCAAAAATGTTTTTATTATTAATATCACTCAATCTCAATAATTATCACAATAAATGTCCAATCATTATTTCTTTCAAGTTCAAAGGCTGAGTGAAAGCTGAAGAAACCAGATGGTTCGTTAAAGGTTAATGGTTCTTTAAAGTCAGAACATGACAAACAATTGCCAAACAGTAGATCACTTAACAAAGCTGATGTAGAACATTCCAAAGCATTATGATAATATCTTGTTCAGCAAATACGCATGAGTTAAAATTAAGTAAAATCTCTTTCTCAGTCTATTTTAAAACAAATATCTTTATAGAAAAATTAAGTGCTAATTTGTTGTGATTCAAATTAATTAAATTATACATTTATTGAACATGGGTGGCACAGTGGTGCCTTCACAGCAAGAAGGTTGTGGGTTCAAACCCCAGTTTCCCCGGCCTTTCTGTGTGGAGTTTACATGTTCTCCCCGTGTCTGTGTGGGTTCTCTCCAGGTGCTCCGGCTTCCTCCCACCATCCAAAGACATGCAGGCTAGGTTGATTGGTGACCCTAAAAGTGTCCTTAGGTGTGAGTGTGAGCGTGAGTGGTTGTTCGTCTATGTGTGGCCCTGCGATGGACTGGCGACCTGTCCAGGGTGTACCCCGCCTTGCACCCAATGTCAGCTGGGGTTGGCTCCAGCACCCATGCGACCCTGTACGCAGGATAAGTGGTTGACGATGGATGGATTTATTGAACATTTGTTATATTGTTGAGGAAAATTATATTGCAATAATTATCAGTATTTTTTACTGGCCATCCCTAGCTTGTATACCAAAAAAATTCAACATACTTTAACATGTAACACAAGTAACTGTATTTATATTATACTGTATACTGTGTGGTTGAAGTGTACAACATTGTGTCATTTGTGAATACATACTAAAAACCTTTTTTAGACCTAGTATGTAATATGGATTTGGGAAATGCAAACTGTGACAGCGAACCAACAGGCACAATATCAGGACCATCAAACCAAAGCAGCTAAGTGGAATTCAGACATTATGTATTTTATTATTTACACTTGTGCTTTTTCTACTGTGACATGTCAAAATGTCTTTTGTAAAAGAGGCCTTTAGGGCTTCTCGGTTCTGAGTCCTCCTGCCAAGAAAAAATATTTGCATTATTTATACCTACATTTTACTTTGAGTCATGGACCAAGGTTCTCTAGTCACTACTTTCACGCTAAATCATCACAACTTATTTCAGTTGTTAGTCAGCCTTTTCCATAAATAGTATAGATGGAGGCCTTAATTTCTCCTCTGAGCCCTTTTTGAAAGCGTCATGAAGTCTGGCAAACCGAAACAAAACATTGTTTTAAGCATACCTAAGATAAATGATGATCAGCATAAAAAGGGAAATACAGAAAGAACTTAACATCTTTGAGAAGACAGACAATCTTAGTAAATCGTTTTTTTGTTTATTTTTGAGAAGATTACACTGTATATAGTCAGAAAAGAGGTGATCCAAGACAGAGTAGGGCCAATCTCAGTTTTCTCTCTCAAAAACAAAGCCACTCAGAAAATCTTAACAGTGATCAATTCAAATATTTCTCTTTTAAATTAATATTATTTGAGATAAATTCTTAAAAGTAATCATTTATATTGAAAATACTTTTTATGAAATAAGAATCATGAGTAGCAGCTTTAACGGGATAAATAATCAACGGCATTTTAAATAATTGAAATGCAAAGTCAACAAAACTTCAAGCTCCAAAGCAAATCACAAGGCTATCAGTTGTGGGATTGCAATATCGTAAAAAAAAAGTTAAGCCAAGGTCTTCATTTCTCTGGCACTGTGGGCCAACATTACCTTTTGCCAGTCCTCAAATTCATTTTTAAAACCTGTGTCCAACCTCCGACCTACACAGTAAACAGCCAGAGGCGATTCACTGAAAGGTGAGATGGTGCTTTCTTGCTCAAACTCGGGCCCAAGCTGGAGGGCTGTGAAATATGTATGGATATTTACAAAGACTACAGTCTGCTGACGGACGGATGAGGAGTTTTGTACACAGTAGCGAGGCAAATAAAGAAGTAGAACTTGGCAAAAAAAAATGTTTTGCTTGAAACAATGTCCCATATTTGAGTTTGAGCAATGATTGACAGGCAATCTCTTGCCATTAACATTCAAAAGGTGGAGAAGGGGAAAAAATGACATTTATGTTTCATGGAACAAGGCCTAACATTGCATTGTATTCTTATTCAAATATTCCTTGAATCTTAGGTTTTGGGGGGATGGTAACAAATAAATACATAAACACACATTCATTTGATTGTTACATGAATGACAGTCAAGGACATTTTTTCCTCATACACCCTGGCCATTATCAGCAGTTGTGCACATGTGAAATAAAGAGATACAACAACAGCAATGACAAAAGCCCTTTGTCTGGAGATATATTAATGTATTAAATAGAGGGCTGTCAAACCACGGACAAAATTCAGCCACTTCAGGAGGAAGAACCAGAGGGATTTAAGAAAGGAAAGACGAAAAGCCTTAATGAGAACGAAGGGAATTGAAATTCAACTGTAAACTATTCTGTTGGTGGCAGAAGACATTGAACAACTACTTATGGTTGTAATGTGTTTCCTGGCTTTGTACATATTCATATGGGCTTACTCTGACACAGTCAACAGATGGCGAGAGGAAGCAATGTGGAATTAAACCGTGGAATGGGCTGCCATGAATGCCAATTCCAAAACAGAAAATATTCAGTCAAGCTAGGTTTTGTAAGAGTGCTGTTACCAATGAGCAGGACTGAGTCCAGAGAAGGAGATAAAAGAACATGTTGGATGCAGTTTTTCAGCAGTCAAACTGAAAACAAACTACTAGCAGTGGACAATACAATTAAGCCAGCACCACCACATTTACAGCAGTTCGTATCCTTTTCATTTATTTTATGTTTTGTGCAGTTGACATTACTCCCCAAACATGCAATATTACTTCACACTGAAAAATACCAGTGGAATTTAAAAAGTAAAAAGTAGCTGTTAAAAAACAGATATGATAAAGATATTTCTGCTGTGTGATAGATTGAAGCTTATAATACTAGGGTCCTACTGCAACCTGTGAGTATAGCAGCACCACATGAGCGTATGATCTATTTCAACATCTGTAACCTGTGTACAAAAGGCTGTGCCTGTTGCCACCCATTTTTAAATCTGCTTGAAATTGCAGACATGGTTATGCCATTGAGCCTATTTATTATTAACGTACTGAGCCTCAGAGTGTGTGCTTTGGTCAAAGCGTGTCCTAACAAATTTACATTAACCATTTGACAAATAAAGGAACTCTGAGTGGGACTCACAACCTGCCATCAGGATACAAGTTCAAATCAACTTGATCATCTCTGCTTCATGCCATACCCTATTTTTTGTCTTAAACCATACCAAAGAAAACATTGTCCAAGTTACTATGCATGATATCATGTTCAGTTAGTTTGACATAGCTAACAGCACTAAACACTACAATACCGTGAAAGTGAAATAATTTAATAATGACGAATAATGTTTCTGAGCCTTTGATAGAATACAAGGAGAATACAAGAAAAAAATAGTTCAAGCAAATTCAAATTCATTCAAATACTGAGTTGACTGAATGGGTACTTCCATTTGAACACCTGAATGGTAATTTGGTAATGTAGTTCATCCATCCAATTTTCTACCCATTTTCTATAAGCACTTATTCAATGTCAGTTATAGGGGTTTCAACCTATTCTAGCATTTCTGAGCAGAAGGCTGTGTACTGCAATAATAACACACAGACAGGCTCATTCAGACCTACAGTGCATGGCGAAAGTATTCGGCCCCCTTGAACTTTGACCTTTTGCCACATTTCAGGCTTCAAACATAAAGATATAAAACTGTAATTTTTTGTGAAGAATCAACAACAAGTGGGACACAATTATGAAGTGGAACGAAACTTATTGGATATTTCAAACCTTTTTAACAAATAAAAAACTGAAAAATTGGGCGTGCAAAATTATTCAGCCTCTTTACTTTCAGTGCAGCAAACTCTCTCCAGAAGTTCAGTGAGGATCTCTGAATGATCCAATGTTGACCTAAATGACTAATGATGATAAATAGAATCCATCTGTGTGAAATCAAGTCTCCGTATAAATGCACCTGCTCTGTGATAGTCTCAGAGGTCCGTTTAAAGCGCAGAGAGCATCATGAAGAACAAGGAACACGCCAGGCAGGTCCGAGATACTGTTGTGGAGAATTTTAAAGCCGGATTTGGATACAAAAAGATTTCCCAAGCTTTAAACATCCCAAGGAGCACTGTGCAAGCGATAATATTGAAATGGAAGGAGTATCAGACCACTGCAAATCTACGAAGACCCGGCCATCCCTCTAAACTTTCAGCTCATACAAGGAGAAGACTGATCAGAGATGCAGCCAAGAGGCCCATGATCACTCTGGATGAACTGCAGAGATCTACAGCTGAGGTGAGAGACTCTGTCCATAGGACATCAATCAGTCGGATACTGCACAAATCTGGCCTTTATGGAAGAGTGACAAGAAGAAAGCCATTTCTTAAAGATATCCATAAAAAGTCTTGTTTAAAGTTTGCCACAAGCCACCTGGGAGACACACCAAACATGTGGAAGAAGGTGCTCTGGTCAGATGAAACCAAAATCTAACTTTTTGGCAACAATGCAAAATGTTATGTTTGGCGTAAAAGCAACACAGCTCATCACCCTGAACACACCATCCCCACTGTCAAACATGGTGGTGGCAGCATCATGGTTTGGGCCTGCTTTTCTTCAGCAGGGACAGGGAAGATGGTTAAAATTGATGGGAAGATGGATGGAGCCAAATGCAGGACCATTCTGGAAGAAAACCTGATGGAGTCTGCAAAAGACCTGAGACTGGGATGGAGATTTGTCTTCCAACAAGACAATGATCCAAAACATAAAGCAAAATCTACACTGGAATGGTTCACAAATAAACATATCCAGGTGTTAGAATGGCCAAGTCAAAGTCCAGACCTGAATCTGTGGAAAGAACTGAAAACTGCTGTTCACAAACGCTCTCCATCCAACCTCACTGAGCTCGAGCTGTTTTGCAAGGAGGAATGGGAAAAAATTTCAGTCTCTCGATGTGCAAAACTGATAGAGACGTACCCCAAGCGACTTACAGCTGTAATCGCAGCAAAAGGTGGCGCTACAAAGTATAAACTTAAGGGGGCTGAATAATTTTGCACGCCCAATTTTTCAGTTTTTTATTTGTTAAAAAGGTTTGAAATATCCAATAAATTTCGTTCCACTTCATTGTTGTTAGTTCTTCACAAAAAATTACAGTTTTATATCTTTATGTTTGAAGCCTGAAATGTGGCAAAAGGTCAAAGTTCAAGGGGGCCGAACACTTTCGCCATGCACTGTATGGACAATTTATCATGAACAGTTAACCTGACCTACAGGTCTCTGCGGTGTGGAAGGAAACCACATGTCCGATACACACAAGTTTGACCTCTTGTTGTAAGATGACAGCGCTTCCTATCCTATATTTGATCATGTTTCAATTTAGTGCAGGAAACACAGAAAGCTACTGTGTTGTCATTGTGAGTCCAAAACCCAGTTTCCCAGCAACTTCCATTCATGAAAAGATGTGTTTTCATCATCAAAAACACATATGGGAAGAAGCTATGTTTGGTGTGCCACAAGAAACCCATTCATCTACATGATATCAAATAATTTTTACCCACTATAATAAAAGTGACTAACGTTAAATGACTCTGTTCTGACTTTTTTTTTTATGATACCACCATTAACAGAGGTAGTAGTCTAGGAAAGCACACATACGTTAACTACTGGGAAACATAAAATGTTATTTGCCACTAAGCTCAGCGTTAACGTTACACATTTTTACACTGGCTGAGTCCATTAGAGACAAACCAACCTATAAAACCAGCTAGCAACACGTGATGTATCGTTTTACATTAGAGGCAAGAACACACTCAAACTGTGCTTTAGTGCGATAAATCATTTACCAGAAGATACTATGGCAAATTGATGAATTAGCAAGCGCTGTAGGCTACATCAGCTACCGTTAGCTAGCCTTCTCAGCTGACTACCAGCTAACTGGTAGCTAGCAGCTTCAGCTCAGCGATTCCAGCTAAAACATTTAACTCTTACCTCCACTTAGTTTGGGAATTCTGCCGATTTTGTTAGTTACTTCTGCTGTAATGGTCCCAAAGTCCTGCTCGTAAGCTTCAAAGTCTGAAGACATTTTGACGTTTTAGTTTAAAACAGGTGGCTTTGACAGATAGTTCAGAATAATAAAAACAAGGCTTGAAAGGTTTCACTTCCTTGAGTCACAGTATAATGTTCTCGGCAGGGAACTAGACTTTTTATTTTCCTTGTGAAAATGGTTCAACTAGTTAATGGAAAATATCAGTCGCGTTTATTTTTGCGGAATGTGAATAAATAAAAATGTTTTGCAGTTCTGTGATGGTTGAGTAATACATTACTTAGATTTAAGAGTGTCCGCAAGGGGGTGAGGGTTATAGTTCCTGAAACACCATGAGAAAGGTTCCCCTCTGTAAGTTATATAGAAGAAACTGAAGAAAAAACCAAGGAAGTGGCCAGGTTGGTATTTTTAAAGTGACAGTTTTTTTCTCCCCTCATAAAAACGGTGCATATACATGTACCAGTAAGCATTCGTTATATCTTTAAGATGCATAATGATCCGTGTTTCCTCTTTGCAGCTTGTGACCGTTGTTCAATACGTTTGTCAAGCTGGCGAACAAGCTAGCTAACTGCTGGAACGTTAGCTCCGGTGCTAACCCGAATTAAACATGTTGTATTCTTTTTTTCTTTTCTTTTTTTTTTACCATAATGATCTCGGTTGACTGGCTTGTATACAGTGGACAGTGCTTTCACTTGCATATGAGTTAACGCTACAGTGCAATATTTTTTCTTGATGCGAATTAGCTTGCTCGGTAACAAGAGCTAATTAGTTAGGTCGCTGTAGAGCAAATGAATGGATGTACGTTTAGTATGCTTGCTTTAATGCTAACGTTAGTTGCTAATACGTTATTTGTTAGATTTAGTTATTTCTGAAAGTTCCTGCAATATTGCAGTATGGCAGTAATGACCAAGGTGTGAAAGCTAACAGTACAAATAAGAGTGGAAGTAATATATATAATAATATAACGTTAGCAGACATTCTGATATTATGATAACGTGGTCACTACATGTAGTTAGTGTGTAGACGATGTACACGCACAAGGCTCAAGTTCAGTATGGTCTATCTTTAAAATTTAGATTTGTTGGTTTTGAGTAAAAAGAACACAGAATTACAACTGTGTGACTGTTGACACAGCAGTAGCTATTTAAAACACGTCACAGCACTTGTTTTATTGCTGTGGAATTTTTCTGTCTCTTTTTCTTAGATGGAGAATTTGAGTCTGTCACAAGGATAGTGCGCTCCGAAGATTGGCAGGAGAGGATGCTGCTCTTTGCCAGGGCAAGGAACAATGGGAGACAGAGAGCCCCAGTGACCCAAGACCAGGCCAGTTGCTGGGTACTAAAAAGACGAGAAAAAATATGTGCATCATCTGCACCACTGACTTTGCAAGATAGCAGAGGGAAAAAGTAACACATTGAAGCTTGAATAGTACATTTCAGGAACTCAGCCAAAATATTAGTACTAACCTTGTGGCGAAAAGATGAACTTCCTGTCAACCTTTGTGACATTTGAGAACCTCCATGAGGTTCGGAGATTGTGCCACTGGGGTCCAGTCATAGCTCTGTCTGTCATTGCTATGTGCTCCACCATGGCAATTCTGGACTCCATTATCTGGTACTGGCCGTTAAACACTACGGGAGGCAGCATTAACTTCATCATGCTCATCAACTGGACTGTCCTCATCCTCTACAACTACTTCAATGCAATGTTTGTTGGACCTGGATACATCCCTCTTGGCTGGAAACCAGTAAGGATCCTTAGTTAGGATAAAGGCTTATGCCATTTGTCACTGGTGTTAGTTCATGTAGATAGTGAATAGTGTAAAAAAACGGGTTGGGGCCATGTCTGCAAAATTACCACATCAGAATGTAATGTAGAGTGAAACCATTGATTCATAGGAAAGATGTTACATTTGACTTATTTGTTTGTCCCGAAACAGGAGAATCAACAGGAAACCCAGTACCTACAGTACTGCAGAGTCTGCCAAGGGTACAAGGCCCCCAGATCCCACCATTGTCGCAAGTGTAACAGGTAGCTACATTTATTACATAAGTAAGAGTAGGTCTTCTCTCACATGTATGAGATGGACTTGTGACACAAAGAGAATAAAAAAGCACAGAGACAGAGCTATTATAGCTATGAAGTTTCCAACAAACAAAACTAGAGCTGGCTTGTGCATTTACATGGCTTATTCATGTTATTTCTGCCCATGCGGTGCTGTAAGATCTCTGTGTAGCCTTTAAAGTGCTGCACCGAGATGCACAGAGACATGACGTTAACCTATTTTTTAAGAAAAAGATGCAGTGATTGCTGATGAACTTGTGACTCTATGTCCTCCAAAACAACCAGTCAGTTCCCCCAGCACTCTTCTCCTCCTCTGCCTCCCCTCCCCCAGGTGCGTGATGAAGATGGACCACCACTGCCCCTGGATCAACAACTGCTGCGGCCACCTGAACCACGCCTACTTCACCAGCTTCCTGTTGCTGGCTCCACTGGGCTGCTCACACGCTGCCATCATCTTCATCATGACCATGTACACGCAGCTGTATGAGAGGGTCAGTAGTCTCCTTAACCTACTACACTATGCTTTTGACAGCCTATTATAACCACAGCTTTCTCCAGGCAGAGTTGTCTCATTCAATTTATTATTTTATACTGATTTTAACACACATGTTTTCGTCTTTCTCCTCACTGCAGATATCATTTGGGTGGAGCACTGTGAAGATTGACATGAGTGCTGTGCGTCAATTCCAGCCTCTTATGCCCTTTAGTGTGCCCGCCTTTGCTGCCACACTCTTTGCCTTAGGCTTAGCACTGGGCACCACTATTGCCGTTGGAATGCTTTTCTTTATACAGGTGACGTTTTCATAGGGGTTTACAATTTACACAAGCAGTTGGCTATGAAATGTGATATTTAACATGATCATTTTACCATTTACCTTTTGCAGAACCAAAGCCTTACTGCCTTTCATAATTCCCATACCTCATTTACAAATATTTAAAATTGATGGATCACGTGTGAAAATGCAGCATTGTTGCACAAATGCACAGCTTATCCCTATTCATTCTGATTTACTTTCAAACACAGACGCAGTGTCAGACACAAACAGTTTGAAATTATAGCTATCCCAACCAAATGCTTACAGAGATTGCTTACAAAAATTGATGGCTGGCTTAGCAGGACATTTAAATCTCTGACAATAAACAGTCACAGCACATATTCAGGGGAAATAAGTGATGCAATAATAATCATAATTCAACAAAATATAAATGGACTGATATATTAAAATAGTCTGTCCTTTTCAGATGAAAGTCATCCTTCGAAATAAGACCTCGATCGAGTCCTGGATCGAGGAAAAGGTCGGAATGTCTCTTTGATGTCCTGTGACTTTGTTTTATGATTACATTTTGTGATGTTGTGTAATTTAAGATGGATTATTTTGTGCATTTTTATTGTTTGATCTACAAATGATATTGTAGGATGTCAAAGTGCTTTTTTAGTCACAAAATTTTGAAAGATTTATAATTTACAATGTATTTTCAACATTCTACTTCTCGTGTCTTTTCCACTAGGCCAAAGACAGAATACAGCACTACCAAACAGGGGAGGAGTTCATCTTCCCGTACGACCTCGGCACCCGCTGGCTGAACTTCAAGCAAGTCTTCACGTGGTCAGGAACGCCCAAGGGTGATGGCCTTGAATGGCCAGTCCATCCCAAGTGTCACCAGCACACCTTAACTGTAGGTTCAGTATGTTTGTTGAGTTGGGTAATGCGTGCAGTGTTGTTTTTGATTTGTCTGTTACTGCTCTTATGCGCACTGTGAAATGTCATTGTATGTCAAATGATAAATTATCTTTATTTGTAGAATGTATAAAAGCAGTTTAAGCAGTAAGTATTGTAATGGGTCCTCTTGATACATTTCCTGTACAAGAGTATGATAAAAGTTAGATTGTTCAGCAAAAGTGACTTTAATTGTCTTGTTTAACAGATTGAGCAACTGAAGCAGAAAGCTGATAAACGAGTGAGAAGTGTAAGTACCTGCCAAATCCATATTGTGACATCTATGTAGAATTTATTTATTTATTTACACAGAAAGACTCACAAGGATTGGTGTGACTTAAAAGAAAGGTTTGTGAGGTTGAATAAATTGTACGTCATACATTTACCAATACTTCCCAAATGTAGTACTTACTAAAAATTGTTGTAACTCTGCAATTGCAAATAAAGCAGTTTTTAGTAAATCAAAAATGTCACAGCGGCTTTTCATCGCAGCTTAGTGTATATTATCTATTAACAAGACAGATGTGCATATTAGCTGGCTCCAATGTTAAAAATTGTACTAGTATCTAGGCAGGAAACTTAGTTCAATTTGTCCGTCAGATGTGAGTCGCATCATAAATTGAACTACATCCCATAGTTCACTAATGGGTCTGGCTTCTATCTGATCGTTGCTTATTCAATTGACAGTGAATGTCACTAAACTAAAATCTTGCAGCGAAGACGATTTTTTACCACACCTGCCTTGATAATAGAATAACAAACATTAAGACGAAAGAAAGACCTTGTCACTATATTGACCTTATGCTGCCCATAAGGTCATAAAGCCTGACAACCCCGCATCCACCAGAGATATCAGATTAAAATAGACTATTTTTAGCGCATTCAGTAGCGCGATATATTTCAATTTCTAGTAGGTTATTTCTTATTTCACCATTTTAATTCTACTTAATTCTCCACCTTTTTTGAGTGGTTACTCACTACTTGAATCTACTACCTTTCCCTTCAGTTTTCTTTTCCCCACAGGCACACACCTACACCTCTGGTCTCTTTCAGCAAACACAACGGCTTTCCCTGCCTCTTTCTGTTTCTCTCTGCCTGCATGTGTCTACTCTCTTGAGTTTCTCCGACAGCAGTACGGTTTATAAAGTCGCAGAAAAACACAGAACTTTTTTTTCATCTGCGATATTGTTTTTACAGCAGCAGGTGTGCCACATGTGGAGGAGGCTTGTTAATGACGTAGCCTATCGAAATGATCAAAACTAACGAGGTAGTGAATGACATTTGTAGTGATGTGTTCACTTTTGTAAAATACCAGATCATCTGTCTCTGTGTTTCTTTGCAAAATACTTAAATGGGTCACCTAATGTACCTAGGCGGCTCGTACAAGGAAAGTCTATATGTGGGAAACACTGTATATTAGTGACACATGAATACCAACACATTCAGTGTCGCCCTGACTATTAGCAGTACAATGACCCAGCTAATCCCAGAGGTTGATGTTTGTCAGACTGCTGTGGGAGAAAGTCTCTTATTTTTTTCCAGCTCTCTCAGTCCTTCATACTCTACATTGTAAAATGACACTGGTCAGATATTTGCTATAATGTCAGGCGGAAGGTGGTCAGAAGCAGCAGATGCAGCAGCACAATCCCACGTCCAGTATGTCCAGTGTAGACGCATAATGTCAATAGAAACAACAAAACATGTTAACAGTAGCTATTGACTCTATTTTAATTTTAAAATTCTGTTATGCAATGCAGAATGTCAGAAGCTTAAATGCATTAAGACTGAGGACCATCACTTTAAAAACAACTTGTCTGAATTTAGGTTGTGGTCAGAACAGTAGAATAACCAGATATGTTGTATGCCTCGGCCAGCAGGTCCAGTATCGGGCAGTGGAGGACTATAATGGAGCATGCTGCCCTCTGAGCAAAGGTGTCCAAACCTTTTTCAGGACCCCCTGCACCGAGGAGCCCAGGATCCCCCTCAGCAAGGGGGACACCATCCTAGCCACTCGTGGCACCAAGTGAGTTTATACAGGCCAAATGAAAACAACATTCTTCATGGTATCTTGTCTAAAAGTCTACATGGCTAAGAATCCAATCAAGGTTTATTTTGAATCTTTGAGTAAGGATCAAAACTGCATTGTTTTAATCCATGTGAATTCTCCTAATTAATGGGTTTTTTTCTCATTAGATGGTGGATGTATGGAGACAAAGCTTTGAACGAGGAGCAAATGAGAGGTGATGCCTTTGCTGTGGTTTGAATTAAATTTTTAAATTTACTGTAACAAAGGTTGCAACAGTGTCCTGTCTTTCTGTTGGGTTTCAGCAGGAGAGCGTGTAAGGGGATGGTTTCCAAGGCGATGTGTGGAGAAGTGCCATTATGACGCAGCTGCCAGTGATTGCACCAGCGACAAGAAAGTAAAATAATATATTTGAACAGGCTTTTTGTAGAGCAGGGGAGTTAAACTGAACAAAAGGTGTCTGTGTTTATAAACTTAGATCCACTGAAGATGTCATGCCTGATGCTGCAGGCTCACCATCAAGAATTTCATACTACAAAATTCTCACATGTTTCAATACCAACTTGAATTTTTTAAAGGTAACATAGTCCTCTAAGTCTTACTGAGCACCTTGTGCGGCTGGATGTAAATATCGAGTTCATGAGAGGGGCTGGATCGATGGGTTCTGTTTGACTCCTCTGACCAAAAGTGAAACCCAGCAAGAGTCTTAATTCCCAAGAATTGCCACCAGGCTTTAATGTGGCTTCATTGTGATTACATGACTTTTTACTTGAATCTGTTGTTTTTACTTGTGTTGATGTCCTTTTTTGCTAATTATGCAATGCCTCTGTCCAGCTAACCCCGGGGCTTCGTCATGCAACTCTTTCTACAGTATGGAGATAACACTTAATTTCTTTTTATTATTTTTGTAAAAACAAATTGTTGGCCTCAAAGTATAAATTCAAAAATAAAAAAAATCTACCGCAGGAGTCGTTGTTTGCTTCTGTCTTTGTGTTTCAAAATTTGTTATACACATTCTTTTCTTAAGTGCCTTGAGCTCAATGTAAAACTTTAGTGTAACACAAATCTATCCCAAACTAATTTTGATGTAATGTTCTTACATTTTCAGGTTTACACTGACTGGCACTATATGCAACAAAAGTACAAGGAGGATTTACCATAAAGCATGTTAGGACTTGTTGAAAACTCACTAATCACAAACATTTTTTGAAACCAAAGGCTTTGCTTCTGAACAACACGTCTTTATGAGTCACGCTTTTAGAGTATCATCTTTGACATCGCTTTTTAAAGGCTCCGCACACCCAGGCTCGTGTTTTTAAATAACCTCACTGATTGGACCTCATCTGCTCAGGTTGGAGTCAGGCAGAGCTATGATGGTTGTTGAGGTCATCAAGCTTAACATGAGAATAAATAGTGATGCTAAAAGTGTAAGCTGTCCCACCATTACCAAGCGATCCAATCAGGCAAATGAGTGAAAACACCTGTGTGAGTGTGGGCCCTTTAAAATACACTTTTTAACACCAGGCTTTTAGTTATTTATTTTATTTTATTCTTCTGTAATTGTGTTAACTGTTTCGTTTGTCTCTGTATTATTTAACGTATCCTATAGAATTAACACTTCACTTATTGGTTTATATAATGACAGTTTAAAATGTCATTGTTGAAGTGCTTTTTCTTTTGTATCAACCTGTCAACTGCAAATACACTAAATAAAGATATACTAGGAAAAGCTGTTGGAGAAATACTTTATTGGTATGAATGTAAAGTACTTTCTTATTTTCTCTTAATGGCACTTTCTGCTTCTACCCTACTACATTTCAGAAGGAAATATTGTACATTTTTCTGATAAAAGCTGATGCTTTTATCCAAAGCAACTTACAATTGCTATACATGTCAGAGGTTGCACGCCTCTAGAACAACTAGGGGTTAAGTGTCTTGCTCAGGGACACATTGGTAGATGGGTCACAGTAGGGAATTGAACCCAGGTCTCTCACACCCCAGGTATGTGTCTTATCCATTGCGCCATCACCAGTTCAGTGGCTAAGTTACAAAATAAGACTTTTTCAATACAAAACAAATGAAGAGTTTACAAAATATGATGTTTTGTTACAAATGTAACCACCTGATAGTGTATACAAATTGATACAAATATAGTTGAAATAATTAGTGGATTATTCAATTTTAAATTGACAGAAACTGTATTGGCAACTATATTAATCATCGTCATTTTTCAGCTGCCAGGATTTGCTCATTTTAAAAATTAAAATGTATTTTTAATAATTTTGAGGTTTGGACTGTAGGTTGTAGCATTATGAAGGTGTCATGGGGAATGTGAATTTGTTCTTTACCACAACCAACTGCAACAGTAAAAGCCTGCTTTTACATTAGTCAATGAATAATAATGTAATGATATACAGTATAATATAAAATATATTATAGCCTATATATAATCAGTCACAGTGGCCAGTGTTAAGGATGACAAGTAGGCTATTTACACATCACTTCATAAAATATGTTTAGATTTTATCCTGATTTGTACTGCTGCGGTTGCAATGAAGTTCTGAACACAACAGGATTACGGTCAGACAGCGAGCCCTGCAGCCTCTGTGATTTTAAAGAGGAGATCTTAATTAACGGAATAGTTTCTTAGATGTACCCCATCTGTCGTCGATAATTGATTTCTCCTAAGTGCTTTCACATATTTAGATAGATTATTTTACGTGTCCAAAAAATAGGGAGCCAGGGTGGGGGTTAATAAACCGAGAAAGAAAATCCTAAATGAGTGTGAAATTTAGCCTACAGGAAGAAAAATTGGAAATTCCCTGATATTAATGTCACAAAAAAAAATCGAGAATCACTCTGGTGTTTTCTTATGAATCCGCCCAATCCACGGCAAAGTCTCTAAGGTGCATGATAGTGACTGTGGGCTAAACTCACGAGTATTTCCTCACTGCTAAATCCGATTGCAAAGTTTAATATAACTTTCCAAAGCATGCATACTACACGGCAGACGTGTGTGTGTGATGTTGCAGCCTTGCAAAGTGAAGTTTCTCTCATAAATGTGTGATTATATTGTCGGAGAATATTCAAGTTTTTTACCTGCAGATTAATCGTGGAAATTAAATTTTGTTACCTCTTTAGGCTACAAATGTACTCAGTGCGACGCGACAAGCTTCCCTGGCTTTGTCGTCCGCCACGATATTAGATCAGCCGTTAACTTGTCTTTACGTTCATAATTTCCTGACACTATACCAACGTGTATTCCTCTGGAAAAAGACAGAGCATGCGCCGTTGCGAAAAATCCGTGTCTGCACGGCCGTACACACCCCTTTTATGCGAACGCGCACCAACTCAAGTTAACAGGGGGTTAACACCGACTCAACCAACCAACATCTTATCCACCGTCGTAGTACCGTTTAACTCCAGTGTAACGTTAGGCGGTCAGAGTTTGTCAACCCTGAGTTTGCTTGATATCCCTGAGTTAACTCTGAGTAGGTTGAACTCCCTTCGTAGTACAGGCCACTGTAGTGGTCTCCGGTTACCTCGCCTTGGCTCCTTGATAGTTAACATACAGTCTATGGTAGTTACGTAACTACGTGTCTCATCCTTCACAGCTTTTTCCACAACCAATGACGGTGCAGGTGAAATATCACGTGATTATCCAACCCAGTTCGTGTGTAAGTGACTTCCACTAGTGGGTACACAGCTATTTGGACTTGGGTGGACTGGAAGAGACAGTTTCTCGTTGAAGATTATCAGGAAAACGAACCATGTAGCTATGTGGACAGGTCTCCGTATTTGCTGCACCATTTATCCGTTCTTCACATCGCTTTCGATCTGCTCAAAGAAGGTAAACTCATGCTGAACTGCAAGGTTGCCGTGCACATTGCAGTGTTTATGGGCCGCACCATATGTTTGTGACTAATTACAGACCGCTCCGTTTTTGTTGGATCAAAAGTAATACTAACGTTTTTATAGGATTGTCGTTTTGATCGTGCATGTTCATTGTACAAATATTTTTTATTTATTTATTGTAATGTTTTACAGGCAAAGAGAAGGTAGTAAGTTATACAGCTAGCTAGATAGCTAGCTAAAGTTACGACTTTGAGTCCTGGTTGTATTGTAAGAGCAACTCTGGCTGTCAACTGTTTATGCAAAAAGTGACTTTCTATTTAAGTGCTGTAAAACATTGTGTGAACAGTTATGCTGTTGCCCTCTTGTCAGCAGCTAGCTAGTTGGCTAGCAAGACGTTAAAGTGGCTAAACACTGATCAACCTTTACCTCAATGTCTGTTTTCACTGTAACACCGATTGCACGCAAATATACATTTTACTGAATACTGGGGATCCAAATCCGTCATATCCAGCCATAACTGCCGGCAGTAGCAAATAGTTAGTAAACGTATATACTTTTTTGTTCATGCTCAAAGGATATGTTATTTGATTGGTCAGTGATTGAAATGTGGCCAATAGCATGGTCCGGTTTAGAGGCTGACCCGTCAGGTTCCAGGCAAGATGAGGAATAGTGTGACAGCCACAAGGAGTTGTTGCCAGCACCTTTTTGTTTACTAAATGATCTTGTGAATCTGCTGATGAATTTTATGGAATTCAATGGACATTTTTGAAGTTACCCCACCTCCTGTAGAAAAGAGAGATTCCAGTCATGAATGGCAACAACCACTGATGCAATGTTGGAAAGTCACAGGTAACGGATGAGTTGCAACATCAGCAGAAGCAAGCGTTTTTTAAACAAGAGTGCAATTGTCAAAGCGAGTAAATAATTTCATTCACAACTCAATACATCAGGTAAACATAACAGAGGGCCTATAGAGACACTGCAAGAATGTTGATAATTTTGACATTCTCTGGCTTCTCCCTAATTTAGACAGGAGGTTATCAGCAACTGCAAACAATGAATTGCATGCTAACAGCCCTGTCGGCAGAGTAAATCAGTGATCCACCAGTAATAAACATGATTAGGGTATAAAAAGATTGGCCAGACAGGACGAAAGCTTGTGTTGCCAGAGTGTGAATATTCTTAGCAAGTCAGTACTTAATGACAGTAATTATCTGCAAAAGAATTACTAATACAATGAGCGATACATAACTGTTGTAACTTGTATGTGAAACTATATTCTTTAAGTCTTTCAAGTCATGTAGCTCATACAGTTTTGATACAGTGTGTCTTCTCTGGCGTGTCGTGTCTCTTAATGGTTTAGTAAGTATTTCCTCTTTGTTCTTTTTAGCAGCGTTGCAAAACCACAACTGCATAGAAATTACCATCACTGCTTAAGAAAGTGTAGATAGCATTGTAGTTAGGCTCTAATGTAATCCAAAATGAAACAATTTTAACATCACGGCCTTAACTGCTACTGTTTTTGACTCGTCTTTCACTTTCCACCCCCCAACAGCGACTCCTCAGATCCTGTGACGACTGTGATTTCCTGTGATATCAGCCAGTAACATGTCCATGTTCAGCACGGGTGTCCTTGTGCTGACGTCTCCGCTCCACACCCTCCCCTTGCGCATCGCTCCAGTGCTCAGCTCAGCTGCTCAGCTTGTAGAGCGCACACTGTACGTCCACCTCCACCCCGGGCTGAACCTGGGAAGTGGGAGCCAGCCTCGGCCAGTTTTCATCCCACCGGTAGTGGACCTGTCTACACTTATTACCCGCCTTTACAGCAATGCAGCGGATGTATGCGGGCACCTGGATGTTCGTGTTTTGCTGACTAATGTTCGTGCTCAGTCAGCCACCTGCAGCGGGACCGCGATCCCAAACGGCCCCTTCCCCACACCACAGTCTCTGTCTCACTCACCGGATGTGGTGCTAACAGACTTTCCTCTGCAGGACCCAGGTCAGTCCCATCAGATTAAGCAGTGTCTGCAGAGGTACACAGGCCACTGCTACGTCTGTAGCCCCAGCCTGCCGTCAGTGCTGCTTCACCCACAGCTAATGAGGCTGCAGGAGAAACAGGAAGGGCTAAAAGAGCCTGAAAAAAAGGCAGAACCCTTGGAGACTTACAGTGATGTAGTGGTTGGGGGGACATTTGACCGGCTCCACGGGGCCCATAAAACGCTGCTCAACATCTCATGCCTGCTTGCCAATAGAAGGTTCCTTATCGGCGTGTGTGACCAAGCAATGCTGAGAAGTGAGTCATTTTCAGTTGTTCCATTTAGAAATGTGTAATGATGCAAAAATTCTGAGGCTAATGTATCGTATTTAATTATCCACGAAGAAAACGATCAGAAGGCGGCTCCACTGACATCCTTTTCCTCCCGGCGTTAGAAAAAGTGCTAAAGGAGCTGGTCGAGCCCTACGCTCTGCGGGTCCAGCGGCTAAAGGAGTTCCTGCAAGACGTCAAACCCTCACTGCAGGTGGAGATTGTGCCCCTTGATGACCCCTTTGGAGTGTCTGTGGTTGACCCTCTGCTGCAGTGTATTGTGGTCAGCGAGGAGACTAGAAAGGGAGGCGAGGCTGTCAACAGGAAACGCATTGAGAATGTAAGTTAGGAAACTGCTGACGATACGTGTTACACAGGCATTTCCTGTTAACTTTCTGAAGGACTTTTCCCAGCTGGGGGGGAGCTCTCCCCATCCCTTCAAGAGTGACTAACAGATTATTGTAACAACTGACCATACCTAGTGACAAAACTGTGAGCAAGTATACTCTATTATAAGTGTTTTATCATTTTCTTGATTTCATTACAGCATTTTTTGTAATATAATTGTAGTATAATTAAAGCCCTCCTCCTAAATAAGGTTTTCTCAGGCAGAATTCATATATCTAATTGTATGCCACAGATTATCCTTTAAAGGGTCTTTTTCAACCTGTACCAGGTTTTTGCCACTGACCAGCTCAGATTGTAATTGTAAGTGTGACAACATTGTTGAAAGGATCCCTAGATAGACCTTTTTTTAAAGTGTAAAATCCTTTCATCAAAGCCACTAGACTCCATTGAAAATTGGTCATTTTACCGCTCAGGTCTACCGCTACCTTGATTGGTTAGTTTGTATTATTGTGTGAATTTGCAGTTTTTAACCCTTTAAAACACCAAAGTCACACAATAACACAAATAAAACAAAAACAACAAAGTCACAAAATAACACAAACAAACCAACCAACCAAGACAGCTGTAGACTAGCAACTGCTGTGTTCTGCGAGGTAAAGTTACTGTTTTTAGCAGTGCAGTCTGGTAGCTTTGATGAGCGTGATATAGTGAATGTTTACTCTTACTCTTTAAAAAAGGTCTATCTTTGTAGGGATCCTCTCCATAAAGTTGTCATACACTTGTAATAACAATCTGAGCCAGTCTGTGGCAAAAACAAGCCCTTCAGTGGACGTACTTTGACGGGGCGCAATTGCCCTCAAGGATCACATTGTAGCCCTGTTTTGCTGCTGCAGACTCGCTCAATACTGGACCAATTTCAAAAAATGTCATCCCAATTAGAAAAACATGAGAAAATATCTTTATCTTCACGTATGTCAGGAGATATCTAATGTTGCTTTCCACACAGCACATTTTATTACATAACTCTCTCAATTCATCTCTCATGCTAGGTTCTATTCTCTAGAGCCACTGAGCTTCACTTTTAAGGATTGTCGGTTATCCATTGCTTTTAAAAATCATTATATAGTGACTTTTTGAAAGGAATCTGATGGGTTTACAGTGCAAGGAAAGCACAGAAAAAACAGATCTTGTGCACATGTTGATCCTTGGACAGCAGAGGAACTTGTTGGTCCAGATATAGGTGACCCTAGACTGGGTACACATGAGCACAGATTTGATGTTTTCTCTTCTCTGCTTCCTAAACCAGGGCCTTCCAGCTCTAATCCTCCATGAGATCCAGTTGCTTAAAGATGCGCACCACACTGAGACCGAGGAGGAGAAGATCAGCTCCTCGAGTCTACGTTCTCGTCTGCTGGGCACCCTCCTAACCCTGCCTAAAGTGAGTAACGATTATAGTATACTGACAGGGGTGTTGTGGCCGCAGAAACAAACAAATCACAAGAAAACAAAGAGCATCAGTTAAAGTTGAGTTAATTCCCGTTTAATGAAATTCCTTTTCAAATGTTGCAGAAGCACAGTCTCCAGTCAGGAAAAGTAATTGTCAAATTGAGCTCTAAAGTGAGTTGGATTTTTATTCACTGACTGAAGCAAAACATTTAACTCCGCCAGCTGTCTTCTCACAGCATTTTAGTAGACGAGAAATAGTGTATTCAAACAAATGTCTTCCTTAGGTAAATAAATAACAGCTTTTCTTTCCTGCATATGCCAAAGTACAATGTCTTTTTCCCCCCTATGTGTTAAGCAACATAACTCTTACTGTAATGAAAAGAGGAAGAATTACAGAGTTATGTTTTTTGGCAGTAGACACATCAGCTCATTAAGTGGACATTGAGGGTGATCTTGGCAGTTTAAGTGGGATTGCACATGAAGGCTTACAGACAACTAGTGAAGTGAAAGATAAATATAATTTATATAAGACATGATTTGTCAGATTTCTGTTCTTAAGTTCACGGAAAGGAGGGTGTTGAACAGATTGAGAAACTAGACATCCTCTTATTTCTTCTGCACTAGGACACAGCCCATCTCCCTCCCCTTCCATATGTGATTGGCCTGACGGGAGGCAGCGGTAGTGGAAAGAGCTCCATCGCCAGGCAGCTGGAGGCTTTGGGTGCCGTCCGGATTGATTGTGACAACCTGGGCCATGAGGTGTACCAGCCCTGCACAGCAGCCTATCACAGAGTGCTTGAAGAATTTGGGTCAGGTGATAAAACACTCTGTGGGGGAGATATCACAAGGAGATGGATTACTCATCTCTAACCATAGCCACAACCCTCCATACTTTGATGAAACACAGGACCATGATGCGTCTTTGCATTGCTTTTTTCAGTATTAAAACAATGTGGTATAATGAGCATACTGTAGTAAGTTAAAAGTCAGAGTTGGAATGTCTTTTATTTGATTTTGATGAAAGGTGACTGGATGACATTTTTTGATTGGCCCCGTGACAGATAAATGGAGCACTACAGTATGAGGTCAGAAATCAACATTTTCAAAGGCCATGAGTCAATCGTCACTCGTCTTTCCGCACATGATTTCTCAGACACCTATAGTGCAGTTTCCACATTTTGATTGCAAGATACCCCCCCACTCCTGATATAGGTGGGAAAATTAAATGTTAAAATTTTAAACTTTGAAAAGAGCATAAGTGCTATGTTTCAATTCTGACTGACCACAAAATTCCAGCTTCTAAATATCCTCTAGGCTGTGCCATAATTAGTTGACAAAAATATTAAGTTGTAATATCATGGCAGCGCCCCGCGAACCTCTACGCAGGATAAGCGGTTCACGATGGATGGATGGATCATGGCAGCGCTAATCAGAGTCAGATGAAACATTTACGGCTGACACATTTTGACATTGTTCTGGAGTTTTAAAAAATTACTCTTATTGGCTAATTGGTAGAGTCACATATGAATTCACCATCACACACTAGGTAGCTTAATTCTCAAGGACTACCGCAAAAGTAGATTGCCCAGTAGCTTGATTTCCAGGTTGCTTTGTAAATGTTATACTGATGCTAGTGTCCTACACACATATGTATGAAATCATATGTGTTGCAGTGCAATGATTTGAGTTTTTTTTCATCACTTCTAGATCTCCTGAATGAAGATAAAACCATCAACAGACGTGCATTAGGAAGGAAAGTATTTGGAAACCAGGTAATGTGACATGTATGAATGATTTCAGGACATTATGACATCGCAAACGACTGCACCAATCTGTGTCGACAGTTTACCAAAGATGCTGTTTTTCATGCAGGAGCGGTTAAGAGCCCTAACGGACATTGTATGGCCTGAGATTGCACTTTTGGTGAAGAACACAATCAGCAAAGCCAGAGAGGAAGGTATTGTATTTACTTACTTTTATTAATTATAATCTTAGTACTGTAGTTTCAGTAATCACTTTTTGCTGGTAAACATGACCCTTTTCTGTCTTTTATTACAGTAAAATAGTTTTTATGTTCATACCAGTGTACATGTAGCATGCCACATGTTTCAACAGTTTTTGGGGAAATTGGAAATTATTTCAGTGTTCATTTGTTTTACTTTTTTAAAAGTGATTACTGAAAAATGAGGCTTAACACTTTAGCTACAGTGTATATGCAAACAAATCCTAAAAAGACAGTAGGCCTACCCTTTGCTTTTAGTTTGGCTACTGAACTTATTGACACATGCATGGATTACAAGAGATTTTCCTTGTGTTCATGTATTCCTTTGCTCTTTGCAGGTAAACAGGTTTGTGTGGTGGATGCAGCAGTCCTCCTGGAGGCTGGCTGGACAGACATGGTCCACGAGGTCTGGGTCACCATCATCCCCGAGGAGGAGGTAATATGTTTGTACCTGCGGACATAGTCACGTCAGCTTGAGTGATTGTGAGAAAAATGTACGGGTGTTAAGGTGAAGACTTTTACTGTATACATGGTTCAGGTTGGATGGATATCAACATAAATTGCTGTCACCCATAGAGTGCTTTTTTGGATTCTACCACTGGGGGGCACTTAAGTTGGAAATTCTACACACTATCTTTAACAAAATATACACCAGAAACATTCGCCTACCCCACCTGCCTCCTCTTGTTTCCCCTCTCAGGCAGTGTCAAGAATAACGGAGCGCGACGGCGTTAACACAGAAGATGCCCTGCGCCGGCTGCAGAGCCAGTGGTCCAACGCCAAGCAAGTAGAGCACGCCAATGTAGTCCTCAGCACGCTGTGGGAGACAGAGGTCACACAGAAACAGGTCAAGACACTCATCATGTCATCAGTATAGGGTCTTCACATCTGCATTACATGAAATACTTTGACTCTGTAGTATAAGAAAACTGTATTTTTGCAATAATTTCCCCATCATTCTTTTATTTTAAAGGTACTGAAAGCTTGGAATCTTCTTCAGAAGAGGATCCAACAGAGACAAGAGGGACAGTAGGAACATGTGTGGGTCTCTACATCATCTCCGCTGTGACCCGTGCATGCAGAATTCAACGAATGTGTCAGGACCAGGGACATGAACGCACAAGTGACTGATCAACATAAGGAAACAACGCCTTAGAAAGAAGTGAGACTGGTTTACTGTGCCATTTCAGCAAACTTAATGAGCTCCCTCACTTCTATAACCAAGACTCTGTGCCTGATTGACTTTCCATAAGTTTTTAAACTCTAGTTTTATTTTAAGATGAGGAAAAAGAACTTCATAAATTATCCCTGACAGAATAATGATGGATTTTGCAAGCTGGAATTTGTGTTTGGGATTAATAAAGTGTTATATTATCCTAAAGAATTGTAGGTCTGTTTTCATCCAAAGATTTGTTTTAAATGAACACTCATATGCCCATCATTCAGCAATCCTAGTTAATTCCAAACCTGTCTTATGTTAACTGACATTACTAACAATACATTTCCATGTCTCCTTAGTATAATGATTGTTGTTGTTAAATCATTTAATTAAATGTTGAGGATATTTAAACAAATTCACTATCATTATCTAATGAGGAAGACAAGGTACACTGTATTGTAGAAATATGTGCAATAGATTGGGATGTTTTGTAGTTATATGTTGAATGATGATAAATACACTAGGCACGGAAAAGGAATAGTACATTGACTAATAAATTAAAATGCAATACATAAGTCAATCAAGCAGATGTAAAATACTTAATATACTTATCATGAATATAAAGAAATGTTAATCTTGAATTGCACTCTAGAAAGAAAATGACATGTATTTTAAAGGTCATACAAGAGCCAGTTGTCACATGATCATGATCTCTACATGAGCAAACACTCCTAAAGTAATTGTGGGGCGGGGCGCACAGCAGAGCAGAAACTAAAGTCAATGATGTGTTAAGCTTATGGTAAATGTCATGTTCAACCACTGTTTACGCAAGTATGAAATACTGCTTAATTGCTTTGGCCATACCTTCACTATTACAAGGATTGTCCAATGAAGTGTCATTTGGTCATATGGTTGGTGAGAAGTGTCTTTGATTGCATCATCTTGCATGTCACCTGTTCCAGCTCAGTGGAACACTTCAATAAATTGGTGCAACACTGAATGAAAGGTTTCCCACCCATGAGTGCTTTCTGCTTTTTCCTCAAAGATTAAGGCATGGACTTTGAATTTATTGGCCAAATTTGTTTTTATTTGATGTTAAAGTTTAGAACTCTTGTATGTTTCATAAAATAATCCCAAATAGCATGGACAATTTTTTTTTTTTTTTTTATGCTTAGTATGCCTTTTAATTTTTTAAACATTCATTTCAGACGATTTGTTTAAAGCCTTTAATTTTAAATCCTTTAAAACATTTACATTTAAAACATGTTAAAATGTGCAAAATGTACAACTTTCAGGTGACCCTGTCATGTGAACGATTCTGACCTCACCACCTTCTTTCAGTACAACAAAGCCTTGTGAATTGGTAGCTGAACATGCTGACCACACATTTAAAGAAAAACAGTCTAGTGCTAGTAATTGGTGACCTGTGAAACAAGGGCTGTGGGAATGTGTATCCAAACCATATTCTCCCTTTCGTGGTAGAAGACCACAAAACATCCCGTTTTCCTTGAAATTACATGGAAGCAACCTTTTCTGTGGCAGTGAACTGTCTGGGCATGTGCTGACATGTTGTGCCAAAGTCCAGGCTTTATCAAAACAATAATAAAATCAGTCTTCTTTTGAAGAGTCTCAGAAAAGTTGTTGTTGCTGGATCCCCCCCCCCCGGACTGTCACATCTGCACCTTCAGTTTGGCAGAGCACATTGCTTCCCCCAGCTTGTTGCCTGCCTTGCAAACATAGACCCCGGAGTCAGAAGGCTTCAAATCCGTTACAACTAGAGAACACAGCCCGTCTTCATGTTGCTCCATGGTCACTCTGGACGATGGAGACAGCGGCTTCTCATTCTGAAGCCACTTCACCTCCGGCTGCGGGTAACCTGGGATTGATACAAGACGACATTGTTGCAGAATCAAGAATGTTATAACACCGGAAATTCAATCCTATTGAATTGTTTGCATTAAAGAAAGCTGGTCTTGATACACGAAGTGTTCAATATTATTCTATAATAAAAAGGACAAATGACTCTTACTTTTCCATTCAAGCTAGCCTAAATCTGTTGGCAGCTAAGATGTTTTAAATCCCTTCTAAATGTCAGAATTTGGGGGAATTCACTTTCTTAATAGTTAGGAGAAGACTAAGAGTAAGTATACTAATACAGTAATTATGTACCTTTAGCCAGCTAGCTTAGCTAAGCCTAGGGCAAAGACTAGAAACTTGAATAACAGGTAGCCTGGCTTGGTCCAACTCAAGCAGGATAACCAAAGCCAACGCGGACGTCCCTTAAACCGGCATTCTATCGGACAGCCAGCAGGGGGCGACTCTTCTGGTTGCAAAAACAAGCCCAGTTCCATTAGAAATAATGGTAAAATGACCCTTAGCTCCACTGTCTCGTACAAATATGGTCACGCAGGTGCCGCTGGTTGCAAAAACTCAATATGCTGGCGCCCTATCGGCCAAACTCGACGCTTCAAAACGGCAGTACACAAGCCAACGGGTGATGTCACAATAACTAAGTCCACTTCTTATATACATTCTCTGTTCCAACTGTAACCAAGGACTTCCATGGAGTCCTGTCGCAACTGTGAGGTTACTAGGGGACTAACTGAGACTCCAGGAAATTTTTGCTCACCCCAGTGAAATTGTTCGGCACATAACACTTCAAAATGTGTGGTTTCCACACTTCGCTTTCATAGAGATTAAACAAAAGGAGATTTAACATGTGAATAGTAGTCAGTGGGTAAGTCCTCACGAGCAATCCCTTTAAAATACACATAGTAATTTGATCCATGGTTAATTTTTACAAGTTACTCATGGCAGCTTTACGTTTAGCCATTTTAGGTCTCATTCTAATGCAATAAGATCATTTCACAAAGTAGTCTCTTGTAAAATGTGGAGGGGCATCATTTAATGAAGTGCAGTATAGTTTTGTCACTCTACCATTGACAAGGCATGTTAGCTGAGCAGTTGCTCCTTTGGGGAGAGTGGTGTCCTTCAAGGCCTGCTGGAAGCGGGGTTCAATCTGAAGCTGCTTATCCAGCGACTGTATGGCCTCCTCCGCCTTTCGGCTCCAGCCTGGCTCTGGATGAGAGGGAGGATGATGACGAATAAAACAGAAGGCTTTACTGATCACAAAAGGGTAAACTTGAAGTGACAATCGTAAACCGAGTCATCTGCCATATGTAGCTCTAAGACATAGGAGGGCGTGTGTGTGTGTGTGTGTGTGTGTGTCTTTTAATCCGTCTTACCCTCAGAGGAGCAGCCAGGAGAGTCTGGCCTGTGAGAGAGGTTAGCCATCCGCTGTAGGGCCAAAACAGCCTTGCCAGTTTTCTGGGAGTTTAAAGGACAAATTACACTGGATGACAAACTAAACTCACAACCAAACTTTAGGTTTATATAGGAAATTGATTGAAAGACCATTATAGGGAAGCACGGATCAGAAATCTGTCTAAGGCTAGCCAAACAGCCAGGTAGTAATTTTTCCGTTTTGTTACCTTCCACTTGCGCTTGGCCAAAAAGCGTCTCATCTTCTCCTTATTGAGGGACTTCGTGGGCCTGCGGTTCAGAGGGGTAAAGGAGACCATCCAGGGGTGGGCAAGGGCCTCAGCACATGACAGCCTGCATCTAGAGTGCAAATGGATAGAGAGGGAGAAGCAAAGGCTGTCAAATGCTGCCAGCAGTCTCCTGAGCTCACTGTGACCCAGCTGTGGATTATCGGCTACAGAAAGTACACCCTGATTCTCTCCAATTCATATTCAGAGCTTGGTTAATGGTTTGGAACATTGCAAAAGGTTGGAAATGTCATGTATGTTGCTCATAATGTGACATCAGCTGGAGAGAATAGGTAACAATGGCGAGAATTTGCTCAAGGCCATATTCATAAATAAAAAGGAGAATAAAAGAAAACAGACCAACCTCTGTTTTTTCTTCAGCAGGGAGCTGATAAAGTCTTTAGCTTGATCAGAAATGTCCTCGAAACTCTCCTCGTCAAACTCATATCTGGCAGCAGTCACAAGAGCCAAAGTCTCAGCATCGCTGTTCCCCTGGAAGGGAGATTCTCCGCTCAGCCTAGGACACAAAACAATGTAACTGTAAGAAAAACAGATTAATGTAAGCTTACATAACTGTCATGTTTATGCGCAGACAGCAAATCCTCATCCTTTAGTGTTTGACCTCAGGGTAAATTAATTGTCGAGTTTATTATTCCCTTAGTCTACTGCTGAGCTTTGTTGAAACTATGCACACTATACGATAGACTGTAGTAACACAATATTCCCGGGAGATGGCGCCAAATCTACATTTGTAGAATTATTAAACTTTCACTAGTGATATAATCAAGTTGGCAATGTATTCCTTTTACTCTTAGCTATTTTCAAATGACTTTGCCAAAGGAACAGGGTATTAAAAGTTTGTCTCATACCTTATGAACTATCTGAAATGCCATCTAGAATCACTATTTTCACTACCACAAAGTATCCCCAGTTCCATTTTTGCTTTTAGCTCTCATTCGACTTACAAGATGAAGCAGATGACGCCAATGCTCCACATGTCCGTCTCCAGGCCTACAGGCTCATAGTTGATCACCTCAGGTGCCACGAATTCCGGTGTACCATGCATCACCATCAGAGGTTTACCCTCCTCTGAAGAAGGGTAAGAAACCCGCAGAAATTCAAAATGTCACCCTGAATGTTATAAACCCATATTTTGAGGATGGCAATACTGAAATATATTTGTATCAGTAAAACTTGATGCAAAGTTTCATGAACCCAGAAAATCTTTTTAATGCAATTATGTGCAAACAGGAACAGGTATAACAGGAAGCGTTTCATTCTCTGTGCTGGGTGCACAAGGCTGCACAAAGCTGGTAGCAACAAGTGCAGCACAGCATTGACTTCCTTATAAGGACACTTGGATTTCCCTGTTTTGTAATTTGCAATAGAATACACACAGGATATGTCATTCATTCAAAACACACGGAGATTTAGTCATTGTCCCTGGTGAACGACTGCAAAAGTTATAAAAATAGGTCCCAGAGGGATCATTATGAGACCATTTCCACAAACTCACCCACTTTACTAGCCAAGCCAAAGTCAATGATCTTAATCCGTGTCCCAGTTGTATCCACACAGACGATGTTCTCTGGTTTGAGGTCCAAGTGGATGATGTTCTGCTTGTGAACGTACTTCATGCCCTCCAGAATTTGCTGCATGTAGCGGGCACTGGTGGGCTCCGTGTGCTCAAAGTTGTCATCCACGATGCGTTGAAAGAGCTCCCCACCTGCAATACTGGGCAGACAACACTATTCGGGAATGTGCTTCATAAACAACCCGATGTGGTACTCCAGTGTTAAGCAGCATTTATAAAAACGTGTACATATGGCGTTTTATCAGTGGAAATTGTTTGATCTCATTGCCATCATTTTGTCACCTTATCTGCCACCGCTTGTTATAAAATGTAGGTGTAAACATAATCCAGAAATTATATAGTTATATTGGAACTGGAATCTAAAATCTACAGATGATAGCTGACACAAATTATACTTTAATATAAATTACTGCATGTCCTCCTGTATGGTTTGCTGGTATTGTATGGTTTCAATTAAGATATTGTTTGTCTTTTTATAATATTCACACTAAATCTCCTACAAATGACCTTGAATTACTCTTAAACAACAAATGTAATCACCTAGTTTCCACCAAACCACAGTATTACAGCTGCTAGTGTCACCTAGCAACATTAATAATGATGTTAAACTACCTGCTTGGCGAACAGTAGTTTGATTGCTCGTGGCTTTGTCCTGATTTACAGTACAAAATTTCAATCAACAGTAACATAGAATGATTTTACCAGATCAAAGTCACTTTTCCACTCCACAATTACTTACTACTCCAGGACCATGACCATCTCTAAGCGTGTGTCATAGGCAGCCAGACACTGGACCAGTTTTGGGTGGTGAAGACAGTTCATCAGTTCAATTTCTTTGCGAGCTGCCTGCCTGTCCTTGGAAGTTCGGGCTCGGTAGAACTTCCCCGCACACACCTCACCAGTTTCCTTGTGGGACATCCGGAACACCTGGCCAAACTTCCCCCTGGGAAGATGACTCATTCACTTTGGACAATATACATGAGAATAATCTGAACTGATCTAAAGGTCTGGCTCATGGTGAGTTTAAACTTTGTTTTAAATACAAAGAATCCAAACTTACACTCCCAGCTTCTCATGCACATTGTAGTGGTCTTTGACCTTGTGTTTGGTGTCAATGGTCACTGTGACATATGACGCAGGCTCTTCTTTCTTTTCTTCTTCAAAATATGAACAGAAGTGGAAAAACAAGCACATTACTCCTGACAGACAGCAGAAAAATAAAAGCGCACATCCTCTTTTAAAACATTTTTAAAAACCAACACGTCGCTTACTTGCAGTCGCCATCTTAACAGACTGCGACTCCTGGCTTGGCTCGCTGACCCCTGCAGAGTTGTAGGCTCTCACACGGAAGCGGTACTGCCCCAGAGGCTCCAGGCCTGAGAGGACGTGGAATGATGTGTTTTTACAATGGCTTGTTAATTCAGTCCAGCTCCCAGGCTTGTCCAGTCCCTCTTGTCTGACCTCCACGATGTAGCCCAACACAGCTATGCCTCCGTCATAGCTGGGACCCGTCCAGGACAGGACGACGGACTGCGTGGACAGCTGGGAAACGACAGGTTGGGATGCCGGAGGCTGGGGTCGGTCTGAGGAAAAATTCAAGAACAAATAGTTTTATTCATATACCTAGATACAAGGCGACTTGAGTTGCTGATGATGCTTTCCTGTACCAATTTCCATACATAGGCTACTGCATGGGTTTCAATCTGTTAATAGCCTACTACCATCCTAAGCTGCCGCCTTTTCCCTCTTTGCTACATTTTCTGTTCATGATTTTTTGTTATATAAATCTCTGCAACAAGAAGTGCTGAAAATGAGTCTCACCTACGACAGTGAGGGTGACTGTGTGCTTGCCAGAGCCTTTTCTGTTTCGTACTATGACAGTGTAGGAGCCTCTGTCATCAGGACAGGCCCGAGAGAGCTCCACGCTGCTTTGTGTCTCACTGCTCCGGACGGACATCCTCGGCCCACTTACCACCACCTGTAGAGCAACCAAGGTGGTAGTACATACCAAGACTTTAACTGGCACAGAATTTCAAAGTGACAATATACAGTAATGGATAAAGTAATACTAACAACCACTGTTACCTTGTCTTTGTTGTAAATCCAGCAGCAGACCACAGGAACACAGCTGCTCTTGAACTCACAGTGTAGCCGGGCCTGTTCTCCTACTCGAACCTCCACCTTCTCTGGTGGGTCTAAAAACTCCACAGGAGGTCCTGAAGAGAAGCAGAGTTTACCATGACTGAACTGCAATCAAATTTAGCTTTTACTTCACTAGCTCACATGTTGCTTGCCCTCCACTCACCTTTGCTAGGGGAGACTTTTGTTTGAAGGTTGATTTCTCTGATATCTGTGAAGACTGAAGAAATAGATGGACTTAGAGGTGTGAGTGCGCTACCATAGGCATGTTATAAAAGTAACCTCTGCAGGTGTTTTGAGTTAATTAGCTGATTAGAGCTCTTCTCAGTGTCAACATTTCTGTATTATAAATTCTTTATTTAAATTGTATAATATTTTAAGATACTGGATTTTCAAGATTAAAACAAAAGGCTTGATATATTTGACTGTATGTGTAATGAATCTAAAGTTTAAATTTTTGAATTAATATATGGGGGGGAATTTACTTTTTCATGAAATTCTAATTTATTGAGATGCAGCTGTAGTTTCCAGACACCATTTTTTCAAGGCAATAGACCTAATGAAAAACTGAGTGAAGTTTAAAAAAACAAAATCATTATATTTTATTAACTACAAAACAAAATGTACTTCACAACTTGTCAGTATGTATGTTTGTTGCTACCTCTCTGCCCTTTATAATTGGCATATTTACTATTAAACTGCATTATTTCTACAGAGGAAACATTTTTAAGTATTCAAGAAGAAAGACGGGAGGATTTTATTTGTATGTAATAATACAAAGATTTTTGAGGTAGCTTAATAAAAAAGTTTGTAATCTACCTTTGTTGTCGTCTTCTTTGTTGTGGCTTTTCCCTTTAAAAGCTGAGGACAATCGAGTGATTCCAGGTGACCCATCCTTGATTGTGTCCTCACTGTGCCGCTCACGGTTGCTTGTCCTGGGGACTTTCTTTGTTGCTGTTCCATAGCAAACAGAGTGAAACAGGTTTACTGAATACACCGTTCAATTCAATATGGTTAATTTGAGGTCATATTGTACTTGATGTTTGTGAGGAGCTTCTATCTCAACCCTGCTTTACCTGTGATATGTAACACAGCACTGCTTGACTGTTTCCCAGCAGTGTTCTCAGCTATGCAGGTATACGTCCCAGCATCTCCAGGCACACATTGAGTCAGAGCCAGACTGGCAACACCATTGGTGAAGGAAGTATTACATGAGTGCACCCTCTCACCTAAATGACAAAATAACAAAATACAAACACACATGTTTACTATAGCTGATAATTATTCAAAACCTTCTCAATACTGGATATTATAATTGAAACCCCTACACAAGAGCTCTGGTTGACATATTCTAGCATCATTTCCTTATAATGGAGCCCAGTTAGACACTTTGAAGGTAAGGTAATCAGTCATTTACCATTGTGTTGCCAGGAAACCCTCAGAGGCCGACTTCCTGTGATAACACCTTGAAAAGTAGCATCGCTTCCTTCACAGACTGTACAGTCCCTGAGTGGTTGTTTAAAGCGGGGCTTTTCCAACGCCACGACGGGTGTCAGTCTGGAGTCTTAGCAGAGAGGAGAAGACAATGGGTTTTGTTTTGAGATATTGTTAAATGGCTTGCCAACTGTGTACAAGAGTGTTTTCTGTACTACTGACCAATCAGGATGAGCCACCTTATTCAAAACAAGATTCCTGAGTTGTGTTATGCAAAACAAACATATTTTTAGGTACCTTTCCACCCTAGACATGGTGTAACTGATCAAACTGTAGATGGACTTTAAATGCACTGTGTGGTAGTTGTAAATGTCAGAGTAAAAAACCCCACAAAGGACTAACTGCACACTGATGTGTGGTATTCATCTGTTTCAGTATTTCAGTTAATCAGTTACCTTTGGCTGTATCTATTGCAGTATGTTACAGTGTGGGAAGTTCAACATGGTGTTTACAAGTTTTTCCCACCACATGCATGTTTACACATGTGTATTTTTGATGGTGGAATGTCCAGGAGAGTGGGTGTGCTTGGAGGTGAAAGGAGGAAGCAGGTTGCATGTCACTCCTGTATATTCTCAGTGCCTGAGGACATTTCTGTCAACACCACCACCATAGGAACTACAAAAACACTTTCACAACAATCCGGATACATACAGACATGTGAAATCTTAGTTTCCAGTATTCCTGGTTACCATGAGAGGCTTTTGCGATGACTTCATGCATTCAAGTTAAAGAAGTTCACATCAAAGCATGAAGCGCCTGCAGGGGCTGCAGTGGGTTGAGGCTTGGAATGTGGTGTAACTGTGGTAATGTCCAATGTCCAACATAAAAACTGACACATTAAAACAAAAGTAAATCAACTTTTCACCTCTTCTATTCTTTACCTTCTACAGATGAGACTCCCAGTTTGTTGTTTCTCATTAACGTCCTGTTAGTGGTATGCAGTCCATCCTGTCTCTGCCCCTCCACACAGAGAGGTCTGGGTTTAGGCTTGAGGATAAACCGGCAAGTAGACACATAGGTCTTTGGCTTCTCACGATCTTTGTCCATCCTTCAGTAGAAATGATAACCAGACAACAACAGAGCTGAGTTTCAAATACCCACTCATCAGTCAGGCTTCCCCTTCTTCTCTTGGTTGTGGTGTTGTAGTCAGTATATACACAGCTGATGTGTTAAATTTCCACCCCGTCTCTGTTCACACATCGTCACATATGTTAACAGGAGGAGCCTCTGCTTTCAGACTGCCTCTGAAATCACTACCCACTCTCAGCCCCACAGTACACAGGAAACAGCCAGCTTTATCAGAGGTCCAATCAAAAACACACATGTCCAGCCCCCCACTGTCCCTATGAGATGAGAACAGAGGGGGGAACACAGGAACACATGTGATAGAACACAAAAGAGATAGTAAGATAGAGTGGGAAAACATGTGGGACGGATAAAACATTCAAGCTGAAGTGAACAGTAGAGTGATAAGGTGGATAGTGATACAAAGAAACACACACAAAAGAAGTATAAAAAGCATATTTTACCTGGTGGTTTTCTTCATAAAAGCGATTTCTCGGAAACATAATTACAGATTGTCACTGTTGGCCTGTTTAGCCGTTTTATCCCCCTGTAACCACCCATCAAACTGTAGGTTGAGCCACACTGAGAGTCACCACAGGAATCAAGAAGAGCCAGTAGGACAACTTTCTGAGCGCCTTTACTCTGCTGTACAGCAGACGACATCAATCACTGAGGGGGACTCTTTCAAACTGGATTTTCAGAGCAGTTTTACTGGATTTTAAAGTGGAGAAGTGGGACCATGTGATCACAAACAGTAAGCTCCATTTGTAAATGAGACACCTTTAATTGTATTGATATAAGAATAAGAATAGCTGGTTGGGTGTGTCTCCAACATGTGCTCTCATTTACCTCTTGTTGAATGGTTGTTAACTACAGACTTCTCTTATCCATATTAAGCTAGCTGATAGGCCATTAAGGTTTTCGTTTTTTGGTTCCTGCTCTGAAAAGCAGTTTCACTTAAGGTCTATATTGCTCTCATAATGTGTACCATGCCCTCACCCCTTTCTAACTGCTTAAACAAACTGAAAACAGTCAGTGCCAGGAAGGGGGTGGAAACAGTCCAAGGACTCACTGTCACTTGACATGTCGAAGGCCGAAGGCCTGCTGCGCCACAGGTTGCTTGCGTCCTCATGGTTTGGGCTGTCATTGCATTATTCTCATATTCATTTATAATTCAATACAATACTTGCAAATACACAGAATAAAGACTGCCAGCAGTGTCTGTTGCATGCAGCATCCACAATGTGGCAGCCCTCCCAGACACACCTGCCTTCAATCAACCCACTGAATCACAGCCACTGGCTCACAGCAAATATGAAATCACAACAAGGACTGTACATATATATATATATGATACATGGCTGTTTATGCAGGAAATATTAAATTAACATTAGATAACTAATGCATCTGTGGCTGATAAGACAAACAACGGAATGATTCACCACACTTACAACACTACAACAAGTAACATTACTTGCAGAATATCTTTTCTAAAAGCTACCCTCACATGATTGAGTTACTAAACATTGGACAGATTTCACTTAACAGTGGTCCGTGCAAGAATGTAACAGTTCCATGCACTGCTATGCATAAGTAGGACCATATGGTGGGAGGCATATAATTTACTTTGAACTACAAACAACAAAAGTCCTCTGCCGCTAAAAGCAGGTTGATTGATGGACCAGACACAAGGTTAACTATTTACTGATAGAGACTCACTCTACAAACTTTTAAGCTGTCCAATATAAAGAGGAGTCACAAATGTTGTTTAGCAAACACACACACACACACACATATAAGCACAAACATTTTGAGTTGGTTTCTCAGTGAAAACAGTTCAAGACATAAAAAAAAGACTGACTGTTTTTTTCCCACACATTTATGTGGTATAACATCCAAGATATTGGTGCATCAAAACTGATTTTTCAACTAGAGGAAAAATATAGTTCTTAAAATACAGATTTTACATAAATTCGTGTCTTTATCTAAATAAATAAAAGAGCATCAAAACACATGATATCACCCTTGAAAAATGTGAGCTTGACTGGTTCTCTACGCTTTGGCGCATTCTTTAGAAAGAGCCATATATGGTTAAAAAAAACACAGGAAATGCCATACTGTAAACTTTAATGCATTCTGTATTTTTACCATATATGGACAGTTCTACTATATCATGTCATAATTGTATAACGAGCTTATATCTTAGCACCAGTAGAATAGCCGCTTTTCTTTTCTGAGTAACTATCCATATCAGACTGAAATCATACAAAGTTTTAAAGAATTCAAAACAGGAAAAGCAAAGAGTGGGAAGGATAACATTCTCTCTGTGACCCGAAACGGAGTACTCCAATTATGATAATCATTTGACTTTCAGTTCCCATGAAGTCCTTTAAAAATATGCAGGCTCTGTGTTATCCTCTTCCCACAAACTCATTACTCGATTAAGTGAAGGCAACCCAAATGTGGAAAGCAGTTTTAAAAAAGTGGAACGGAGCCCTCCTGTGGTTGTACACCTCACACTACAGGAATGATCAAATCTGTCAACCAGATTTGTTGGCCATACAGAAGATGTTCAAAACAGGAGCAGTCCACTAAAGTCCACAATTAAACCTTGAAAATAACAAAATGGATTCCTTTTTTAAGACAGTGGGAGCTCAGCTGCAGTAATCCAGATATGTCCTTCTTTATCTCTTTAGCCTGAATTTCTTTGCAGGCAAATAAGACCAAAGCAGATAAGGCTTCATGGACAGAGAGCCAGTGACGATGTCAACTAGTTTCTTACCAGACAAACAACCTCTAACAGTATGTCCTTTTAATAATTGCAGTTTTGGGGGGTAAAACTTCAGCCTACAACTGAGTCTGTTATGTGATGATCTTCCCCTCATATACATTCAAAGCACCTGCTGTGATTCAGTGGTTAATGAGGACAGCGTAAAGAACAGAATATCTGATGTTATGTCATGTGAAATTAGAGAGCAGCATGGTCCTTCACAGCCTGATGCACTCTGGCTCGAGCTCTGAGAAAGCAGAAAAAGGGAGAAGAAAAGCACTGAGGAGACAGAGGCAGAAAAAGACGTGAATGGAGAGAAAGAGCACACTTTGGCGGTGTGTCACAAGCATCCCCTTCACTCTACTGTGACGAAGATTACTGTGCTGCAGCCAGAGCGAGGCCTCTGTCCTTTTCCAGCCCATGGAGTCAAGTCAGGTTTCCTGCAGCTGCTCCATATGTTGGTGGAGAAGCTCAGGGGATGTGCTGGATGGAAGGAGCCCCGAAGCAAGTTCCAGTAGTCTGACGGCTCCAAGTAAAGCTGTGACAGAAAGAAGATGCATTTATACATTTCTTCCATCTTTCTAGAACAAAGATTCACATTCTCTTGTAATTTTTCTGTATTTTTAATGAATATTTCAAGGCAAGATGATTTACTGGCTATATAACTACTCATCTATTTGAACAATTTAATTGTAAAGTAAAATGTAGAAGCGGCAAAATAGCTCATAAGATACAGTAATAAATGTTAAAAAAATGTTGGTGTATATAAAATGAAAGTCAGAAAGATAATAGTAATTTTAAGTAACAAGTTAATCCATTGGATCAAAATTCACATTATATTCCAGCAGCATAAATATACACATACAACCCATCACAATTTTTTGCACTTGCACAATGATGCCACTATTCAAATAATCTAACAGGGACGCTATGTTTTCATGTGATATATCAGTTTCAGTGTTATCAGTGTTATTTCCATAATGTCACATGACACACTCTGCACTCTACTGTGTTACATTTATGTGCTCAGTCTGCACCTCTTCACGCTTACTGTAGACCGTGTAAGGTCTGCTGCTTTTAATACAGTCTAAACTTGGATTGCCTGCATTGAAGTCCTCACAATGTGCAAGTTTTGCAGCATCAAATGCTGGTTCATTTTCTTCAACACACTCTTTTTGGTAAGTAATGTGAGTTATGCAATGATTGACGATAGTGATTATTTAAATAATAAAAAGTAAATAAAGTGGGATTTAAAAAAAGTCATATTTATTATTAGTTGTAGTAGTATAAGCAGTAGAAGTAGGCCTACAAATACTTCCTCTTCATGATTTTTAGAGTTTCTACAAAACTGCTTCTGCTGTTTTTAGTTTGGATTGTTATGAGTGAATTGTACATGGCAATGCATGGTTGTATGGTTGTCTAATAACTGCGCTGAAAAGGTACAGGAAGTCTATTGTGTCTGTAATCCTTCACATGTCTGATATTGTTAATGTATGCAAGAAAATGCAAAACAAGACGCAGACAAGTGGAAGTAATTTGTAGCATCATTTGAAAGCGAATTAGAGAATTCATTTGTTCTTCCAACTGTGTCAAACACATTCATATTAAAAGAGTCTCAGGGGTCTGAGTGGATGGGCTGAGCAGGGGGAATCAGTCTGACTCACGGCCGGATGTACCAGCAGGGGGTCCTGGGTGAGCACACAGGGGCACAGCATGCTAGTGGGCTCTTCTATGTGCAAAACCCCTCCAGCACAGAATGTACAACCCAGGCTTTTTAAATCAAGAAGGTTTAAAGTAAACATTTTCTGCCCGGTTTATACATGGAAATTTCATAAATTGAAAGTGGGGAAAAAACTGTCAAATGTTATGATAGACACAAAAGTTTAAAACTCAGCATTTATTCTCATTTTGCACCATTACAGAGATCAAACACGTTCACTTTCTTTGCTTTTGGGCTTTTCCTTACAATAATTTAGTTAACAGTGCAGCAGGTTGGCGGTAGACTGGCATGAAATCACCAGCAGGACTGGGTTCATTGGGTTTAACGTTGCTACATAAAGCACTGCATTCATTTTCCAGTTGTGAAATGTGTTTTTCAGGCATCTGGGGTTGCCCTCATCAGTATCGGAGCACTGCAATACTCGACCTACTCACAGATGGGCACTTTTGCAGGGAGCAGCCTGTCTAAAATCGCTATAGTCCTCATTGCAGTGGGTGTCACCATAGCCCTGATCTCCCTCTTGGGCCATGTTGGGGCATTTATTAATAATTCTTCTATGGTGGCTTGTGTAAGTAACATAATGCTCAGTAATGAATTTGAGATTCTTTCCTCATAGATTTAATTAAGAACATGCCTGTGGGACAGTTTTGGGAGGATACTGGATCTTTGTGGTTAAACAGATAGAAGTAGATCAAATGAAGATGCTGTATGTAGTCTCAGTTTTTCTCATTATCATTCTGATGCAAGAGATGGTCAATTCTGACTGTAGTATAAAGATTGTTGTATGATGATAAAGGGACATGTGTGACCTATAATACTGCTCACTCTGTTTCTTTGTGAACCAGTTTATATGTATCCTGATCGTGATCATCATTTTGGAGATCCTCACAGGGGCTGCCTTTTACATATTCCGCAGCAGGGTGAGACACTTAAATACTGCCTTGTAAGGGATGTATTTGAGATCAAGGTCAAAACATTGCTTCTCAATCATAAAATATTTTAATCTTTACATCTCCATAGACTGCCCTCCTACAGATGAACAGTGCTATTAATGCCAAAGCGCGAGGGGTGATCTATGACTACAGCCTGGAGAACAGACACTCCATCAACAGAATTCAAGAAAAGGTGACATGCTGAGATTTTTGTATTTGCTTCATCGACTGGATAATGTTGCACATAATAGTATACATGGCCAAATTAACCAATTGGATGGCCCAAAATACTGTAAGCTGTAAGCCTCAATTGAGCCCCCTGTTTAACCCACTCTACACTGTATATGTATTAGTTAGTAATTAGTGTGTCTTAATTTGACTAAATAATATTCATGAGTTTGCACTGTGTAAGCACAGACACAAATGGGACCTGGCAAAAAAATGTGAAACAATGTCTCCTGAAAGTATTTGTGAATATAACTTGAAATTTTCAAAGCAAAAAAATTTGGCCTTCGTTGTACACAGAAATTTCAACTGTACACATAATTTCACTTTTATTTCCACAAAAGACACTTATAGGTATTAAAGTATAGGTTTACATTTTTTCTTAAAGTCTTAAAACAACATTCAGGTACCCGTATGTACATTGAAACAGTTTTTGGTCACTGTAGTTGTTCCTCCTGTCCATACTGGACATAAAGAGATATTCCCCTTACAATATAAAAGTCTTATTTGTGCATACAAATACATTATAAAGTTTAATCAAAGTCAGTCTGAGTTAGACAATCCAAGGGGATTTCTTCACCAGAGGATTTCATCACCGCTAGTATGAAGTGGAGAAATGATTAGTACAGTGAAAACAGTTTCACTGTAAGCATGGGCATGCGTCAACCTGTCCTCTGATTTCATGGGTTGGATAGACAGATCCACAAACACTCAGGCAGCGCCAGTGCTTCAGGGCAATCTTTATTTATTATAAACCATGTTACAGTTCGGCTGCTGTGGTGCAGACAGCTACACTGACTGGTCCAGGAGCGTGGGCTGGGAAAATCACAAGGCCGTGCCAGATTCGTGCTGCGTGGTGAAGACTGAGGGTTGTGGACAGGACACATCGAAAGTACACACAAAGGTCTGCTGGGAAATCTAATCTCAAAGTTCATGGCTAATCTAATTTCTGTAAGCAAATGAGATAGTATTTCACAACTGTGTGCTCCTCCTCAGGGTTGTATCTGGGCTATCAAGCTCTTTCTGTTGAAAAACCTGGTGTGGGTCGGTGCTGTCTGCATTGCTCTTGGAGTCACAGAGGTAAACTGTTCGTGGTTGATTTTACTACACCACTTAATATAATCTGAAATATTGGTCTTGCATAAGAAAACTTCATAGATTCAGGGAGTTAAAATGTATATCCAAGACATTAGTTGTATGTCAGCCCCCTCGCCACCATTTATTAGTTTAGTTCAGTTGCTCATTGATCAACACAAAAAGAGATCTGTAAATGAACCAAAAGGCTATAATCATCTATTGTCACTGGCATCAAAGGAAAATCTTAACTCTGAGTGATCTGGGATGCCATAAATGTGTCTTTAGAAAAAACTAAAATAACAAGTGCCAACAATCTGCATGAGAAGATGTTGCAATGGTAATGTAGACATTTGAATTATAATAAAGCATCTTTTACACTGTTTGACCAGGGTAATAAAATCAGAATTAATTAGAATTTACACAGAGAAAATTGTAAAGTTAATTTGCTGTTTGTAACATTTAACCTTTTTACCTGTTACAGGTGTTCGGGGTGTTAGTTGGGGTGTGCTTGTGTTTGAAAATAAAACACAAAAGCTATGAAACCCTCAGCTGATTCGTCATCTTGGACCAAGAGCAGCCAGCTTCCCACATCACAGATTTTTGTTTTGCTCAAATTTGATCTATTTTATTTGCTTTTTCCAGTTAAGTCTTTCCAAACTGTGATCTATTATTTTATAATTGTGACATAAAACATTAGATACGTAGTTCATCATCTTTACCTTAATGCTTGCTAATGTGACTATTTGACTGTAAAATTTCATGCACACCAGTGTTGGGCAATAATATTACATTTCTCAGTAACTTTAAGTAGTGTAACTAATTACTTTTCTATTACTAGTTACTAAGGCAAGTAACGCTGCGATACTCGTTACTGAACGCACCATCCTTGACGTAAATCCACGACTGTGCGACAGCTCAGCGGGACCGGACTTTGTTGTTCATGTCCGCTAAGAGCCAAACACTAAATGAAAAATGGAGAACGAGGGAGAGAGGCGTTCTTTCCACAGGTAAGTAGCTGCTGCCATTATTGTGTCACAGTCTAAGATACAAAGAACATTGTCATCTAGTGTAATCTCTGTGCGACCAGCAAAAAGCTTTCAACCGCGAACATTTGTACATTTGAAGCATCTGCTGAAGCAGCGCAGCAACGTGAAACTTACAGAAAGAAACTCCGGCAGCTGCTGTCACTGATGCTCGGACTCGTCGGGAGAGAGTGACGTTAACGTAACTGAATACTGCTCTTATAAATAGGCTACTTGTGCAGTAAAACCGCTGTTTAAAAGTCGGGATTTACTTGATTTATTTTTTATTTCATCCGGTGGCGTTAAGAAACGTTAGGCCTTGGCTATATGCTTTGTGAAAACCATGGGCTACTCCTTGCTGCTGTTATGGATATGATGTTAGTTAAAAGTCGGGGGAGACTACTTTGTTTGGGGGTGGTAGGGAAAGCAGTGTTTCATAATCAGCCTATAATTTGGATAATTATCAACGTGGACCGCCACGTGGACCGCCATATTGATTTTCCAAATTTGTACTTTAAATCATTTTTGATTAAGGAGCTGTATTGAGGAGCATATATTCGTGCAGCACCTCCTGGCTCGCTCCCTCTTTCTCTCTCTCTCTCTCCTCAACACAAACCTGTCCAACGTTATTCTGTGGGAAACACTGGAAAGTAATATAGTAACTAGTAACGTAACTAGTTACTTTTATCACCAAGTAATAAGTAAAGTAATAATATTACTTTTTTAAGGAGTAATAAGTAAGTAGTAATATATTACAATTTCTGAGTAACTTGCCCAACACTGATGCACACTATGAAAATTTTCAATAAATTTGTGGAACATTCTGGTAACCTTGCTGTGTGGTTCAATATGCATGTTTAACTGATTTTGCATGTGATCTAAGTAGCTACTTGTGAAAAGGTTTTCTTTTAAGCTAATTTGGAATAAGTTTGTACAGTTCATCATGGACCTGATAAAATTCTTCATCACTTGGAAGCTTTGGCAGATTAAAAGTTTTTATTAAGCAGGGAAGTTGACCACTGTGACAGAAGGTCTTGGTCTGGCCTGTGGAGCTGAGATGGAGTTTCGGTTCAGACTGAGCGTCTCTAGTTTGCAGTCAATGCTGAGGGCTGCAGGGTTGTTGCCATCATTGAATCTAATCTGAGTAACTCAGATTGGCAAACTCACAGTAACTCCAAATAATAAATGGCAACGACAATATGTAAAATGAAGTCCACCAACCTACAATTCTTTTTAAAAAAACACATCAAGGAGTAAAAGGGACAGAATATCAACACTGGGCAGTTTACTAAGGATGGTGCTCTTGCATGCTGCTGTTTGGTCTAGTTTCTTTGGCTTGTGTCCAAACTATCATGCTGTGCATTTCTAGGAGTTCAGCCAAACATATTTTTTCCTTGTTAGATATCAGGACTGAAGGACTGTGCAGGACTGAATGATCTAACATAACAAGAAAAAAATAGGCTCATCAGAAAAAATTACATGTCCATTAACAAATGTTTCCCAAACACACATCTGACTCTCACCTTTTAAGGAAATTTAAGCAGTAAACTACATTTCCCAGAAACCCTCTAAAGGAAATGCGTCCGCTCTCGAAAGTGGTCCGACTCTGGCAAACTCGCAGCACAGAAAGCAACGTGTGCGCTAGCAACTAAGAAAGCTGACTGAGAAACACAAGTTAAACAGCAACACTGAGACTGAAACAAAGGTAAAGGAACAGTTTTATTGCGATACTATTTACGACCACCAGCAGTCTTAATGTCGCTCTGCTACGTAACATATCACACGATATATGACTGTGTAGCGATTAGCAGGTATACAGTTTGTGTTCAGACTCCAGCTAGCTGTGTGACTGAATGTTGTAGAAACATCCACCTTTGAATTAAGCTAAAGTACAAATTATACTGCTTAACTTTGTTTAGCTCTGTAGATTAAAACATAATAATAAATCATGTAGCTAAGTGTGTCTTTATTGGTTGTCAGGTACTAATTTGTAGAAATATTAAAGTTATCCTTTATACATGGTCTTTCTGCTTCCTTATTAATCAAGGATCATGTCAGTGGCTTTAATCCAGCAAATAAAGGAGCTGGAGGAAGAGCTGGAGAAGCTCAAGTCCCAGCTGAAGGAGAGGAGTGAAGCTGGCAGTCCGTCTTGTAATGAAAACACAGACTGCAGACCTGATGGTAACACCAGCAGCAGTAAAAAGGCTAAGAGAGCAGGCAAGGACCGTCCTTTTGACTTCTCGGCCCATCCCCGGCGCCATGTGGCCCTGCGGCTGGCATACCTGGGATGGGCCTACCAGGGGTTTGCAGTCCAGGAGAACACAGACAACACAGTGGAGGCCAGACTCTTTGAAGCTTTGCTAAAGACACGGCTGATTCAGGATCGACAGAGCTCCAACTACCACCGGTGTGGTCGCACTGATAAAGGAGTCAGTGCCTTTTCCCAAGTGAGTTCCCTGAGACTCAAATTTATTGTTTATATAGGGAGATTCTAAGTATATAAATCAGTAATGAGAAACTATATTATAATGCAGGATGGTGCTCCAAAACGAGTCCATGCAGTTGTTGAGTAAACTTGTCTTTTCTACGCAGGTCATAACCATTGATTTGCGCTCCACTCAGTTTTGTGAAGGACCGGGCGTCATACTCCCTGAACATGTTGATGTTAGTACCAAGAATAAAGCTACTGGCTCTGAGCTTCCATATGTAAAGATGCTGAACAGAGTCTTGCCCCAGGACATTAGGATCTTGGACTGGGCACCAGTAGCAGAGGGCTTCAGTGCACGCTTTGACTGTCAGTCCCGCACATACCGGTACTACTTCCCCCGAGGATCCTTGGATGTGGCGTTGATGGCAGATGCTGCGAAAAGGTGGGTGAAAACACAAAGTGGTAAATGCTGATGTCCCCTGCTTTGAAGTCACAGCTCTGATTTGAGGACCTCTTTGACATCTAACAGATATGAGGGCACTCATGACTTTCGCAACCTGTGCAAAATGGATGTGGGCAACGGAGTCCTACAGTTTGAGAGGACCATCTTGTCAGCATCAGTGAAGCCTGTGCAGCCTCAGCACACAGACCAATATGACCTCTTCATATTTGAGATTAAAGGACTGGCCTTCCTTTACCACCAGGTATCAAGACACACTAACTCCCCCACAATTTTTACAGTTCTGCTCAGCAGTAACTTATGTTAATTTAAAGCCATTGTATTAATTTTTGCAATTTAGATACAATCTCTTGTGGAGCTAAACTCTTTCAAAATTTGATTACTTTGGTTAGTGACATTTGCAGTGTCTTACGGCAGTGTATATCCTGTTGTGTTGTGCTGCAGGTGCGATGCATGATGGCACTGCTTCTACTGATAGGGCAGAAACTGGAAGCCCCAGAGATAATTAATCAGCTCCTGGATGTTCATAGTAACCCCAGGAAGCCCCAATACAGGTAAATCAACTGCTGTTGAAGAGGTTGTGTAGGGGGGGAGGGGCTTTTAAAAATCTGACGTTGGAATGTTTAAAATCTAACGTTTTCAAATCATGCACAAGTACACAGGTCAAAAACATTAAGGGAACACTTAAATCACAAATCGGATCTCTCAAAGTTCAAAGTCTTTAATGTTCATTGTATAATTGGTTGAGAACAAAATGACGTAACAAAGGTCAATTGAAACCATAATCGCTGATTTCTGGGCATGACAATGTCTGGGCCTCGCCAGTAGCCCACTGGAGGTCATCACATGTACAATACATAATGTTCCAGAGGTTCTCATTTGGATTCAGGTCTGGGGAACGTGAGAGCCTGTCAGTGGCATCAAAGCCTTTCGCCATCCAGAAACTGCCTACACACTCTGGCCACATGAGGCTGAGCATTGTCCTTCACCAGAAGGAACCCAGGGCCCGTAGCACCAGTGTAAGTTCTGACAATGGCTCTGAGGATTTCGTCCCACTACCTAACCGCAGTCAGGGTATCGTTGGCTAGCACATGAAGGTCTGTGCGACCCCCCAAGGATACGCCTCCCCAGACCATCACTGAGCCACTGCCAAACCGGTTATGCTGGGTGATGCTGCAGGCAGCCGCAGCATCTCCAGACTCTTTCACATCTGTCACATGTGCTCAGTGTGAACCTGCTCTCGTCTGTGAAGAGAACGGGGTGCCAATGGCGGACCTGCCAATTCTGGTGAAAATGCCAATAAAGTTTCACAGTGCTGGAGTCTGTTTGACAGTTTGGTCAGAAACATGCACACCAGTAGCCTGCTGCTGGGTTGATGCCCTTCTACGGCCCTATCCAGCTCTCTTTGTGTAACAGCCTGTCTCCTGGTATCTCCTCCATGTTTTTGAGACTGTGCTGGGAGACAAAGCAAACCTTCTTGTGACAGCACATATAAATGCGCCATCCTGGAGGAGCTGAACTACCTGTGCAACCTGAATGGGCTACAGGTACAGCCTCATGCTACCAATAATGACAAGGACACTAGCAAAATGCAAAACTGGAGAACAGTCAGTAAGGATAAGGAGAGAGCAATTACCTGTGGCCACAACCTGTAAAACCATTCCCTTTTTGGGGGCGTTGTCTTGCTGCTGCCTCTCCAGTGAACCTGTTGTCCCTTTCATTTGCACCCAAAAAAGGTGACATTCAACATGATCACTTATGCTTCCTAACTGGACAGATTGATATCCCAGAAGTTTAATCTGACAAGATGTTAGTCTAAGTGTTGCCTTTTTTTTTTGAGCAGTGTATAAATAAATAAAAAATCTCCTGCGCAAACTGAATCAATAATAGCAACAACAATACAGTTGAACTACTGTATGAGTCTTTACTTGAACATTTTCTTTCTTGTCTCTAGCATGGCAGTAGACTACCCGCTGGTGCTGTACGACTGCCACTTCAAAGGGTTGAGCTGGAAACAGGAGAATGAAGAGGTGAGCCATGTGCTGTCTGCACTACAACAACACTGGACCCAGAGTGCAGTCAAGACCCACGTCCTCCATGGGATGATCCAGGGTTTGGAAGCCATAGGTGAGATGTTCAGTGAGATGAACGGACCCTGACAAACTTCAACATTTTCAACTTCAGCCTGTTAAATTTCATATTAAACCTGATTGTAATAACAGGGATTTTTTAATGGACTTCTGCAGGGCCAGACTGCGATAAGTAATAATTCAGGCTGGGAATCTAACGACAGCTCAGGACAATATACACACATTCACATCAGACCACATATACTGTAACCATTCTGTTTAAATAATCTTTCAGTAACATGTCTTTCAGTTTCAACACACACAAACTGCTTGGCAGTTCTCAGAGCTCTGACTGGACTTGATGATCATGAAGCTCTGTTAGCTTTGTGTAACTGGAGGTACTTCCACCTGACAAAACTTAACAATTTTGAGGAGACTCTTGCTATGTGGTACTTGTAGGCTCACATCCTTATGTATCCTTTCAATATTTTGCAAAGGAGTAATGTATTATACATATAAACATTTTAAATGGCTATAAATTGTTAGTTTTATTTCTCCATCCACAGGTGGAGTGTCTTCTGACCACTGCTGGTTAGTAGAGGGCAGCCGGCAGAGAAACTACCGGCCCCTGCTGGAGCGTCCATGCTGTGAGAGCCTGGAGTCACGGATAAACCATTTTGTCAAAAGAGGCAGGCTGGAGCGGGAGGAAGGGGAGAATGGAGGTGAAATGGTTCACAGAGGGAAAAGGTCCAAACACATCCATGATTCCCCCAGTGTGCCCATTTCTTCTGACATGCCGTCATCAAAACAAAGTACAGATAAAAAAGCAGAAGATTAATATTTTCTCACAGGAGCATGGAAAATGTTGTATTTCAGAAAATAAAAAACAATAGGTTTACATTTTTATGTCATAAAAAGTGTATTTACATGGTCATTCATGCAGACATTTGTTTTGCTTTGAAATAAAAGCGTTTTTGAGAAAATTGCTGTGGCAGAGTTTGGTGTACAACCATAGACTGTATAAAATGTTAACAGCTGAAGCAACTCAACTTGGATGGGAACTTTAAATTAGCTAAGCGGAACCTGCGTCAAGTGGTGAGAAATGTCGGAATATTTTTGAGGTGGCGCTTTACAAGCTAAGAAGCTAGGTCGTTAGCAGTGAGTTGAGTACAACAAGTCAGATTTACAGACCGCAGTATCCGGCAGTAGGACTGTCAACAACCATTTCGTCTGGCTGCATATTTGACGGGACGGAGTGGAAATGGCCGCGGCTTCGTGTGATGTCATGTGTGTTGTCGCTCTGACCTGATCAAGACGTGTGCTAACGTTAGCTTGGTAGCATCCCTGGTTGTTCACTGGACCAGCCCCACCACTGTGGCTCTGCACGGACTTCCACTGTACATTCAGCCGATTTAAAGAGTATCACACGTTTGCGAGGTAAAAACAGATGTACTTTGTGTTTTAAAGTAACAAATGTTTGGGACCAGCCGGCCATAATCCCCAGTGTTGAGTTGTTTCCAGCGTTAAGGGGCTGTTTAGCCTCGCCAGGGTTATTTGTGCGTGGAGTCAAGAATAACTTCAGTAAAGCTGTCATTCCGATCACTCAAAACAAGTTTGACTCCCATGGTGGCTGGTTATCCGAGAGGTAACAGTTCAGCTCGGCACCTCCACAGCAGGGGGCGTGTTGTTAAATGTCATGACAGCCTGGGGAAGACTTTAAAATACATTTCAACCAGCAAGAAACGACAGCGAGGGCATGTCCAGTAACTGCATACTGGAAAACGCTTTTTGGAGACATGGAGCACTTTTATGTGTCCACAGCGTTTAAGACTTTAATAATTCCCTTTTTACACCGTTGTGTTTAGATAAATACACAATTATACTGTATAATGTATGGTTTGGCTGTTTATATATTCTAAGATTCATATTTGTTTTGCATTGCTGCAGCCAATCTTCAAGTTTTATTTTGTGCCACCATCAACTTTCAGTAATTTCTGTTTAGTTTCCATGAGTGGCAGTAACAGTGTTATTACTTTACGGACATTGCTTGGGTACATCTCTCTGTGTTCTTTAAGATGTTCCTGGTGGGGCTGACGGGAGGTATTTCCTCAGGGAAAAGCACAGTGTCTTCGATGCTGCGGGAGCTTGGGTGCCCCATTATTGATGCTGATGTTGTGGCCAGGAAAGGTAGGTGAAGATATGTCTATCTGCAAACTATTCAGATGTACAGAGTTTATATGAATTCGGTCAAAAAACTGTCATCCAGCTGGAATCTTCTCCAGGACACAGTCCCTCAAATAAACTGTGTGTCTTACATCACTGACCAAAATATACTTGGTATAATAACGTTTATGATTATACTGGAATGGACACTAAGAGGTTGAGCCCGTAGGAGGTTCATTAAGACAAACGCTTGGAGAGAGTGCATGAATGATGACTGCTGACTGCAGGGATGATGTGGGGAAGATGAAAAGGTCACAGAAAAAGGTGAAAAGTGCACAGCTACATGAAAATATTAAGCATTAAGCTAACGATTTAATTACACTCAGGTGGTTAATGAGTCTCTCAAAAAAATTATTTAAATATTTTCTAATCCACCTTCTACCCACCTGTGTATACCTAGACATTTTTTTTTTGCCTCTTATTCATACTAATTCTTTCTATCGTTCTATGTGCTACAATATCGAGTAATTGTACACAAATCAACAATTAAAGATATGTTAATTATGATATGATGTCAAATACCAAATGCCTACTGCCTTTTCTTGAGAAAAGTGGTGGAACCGCACACTCCCGCCTATTCCCGCATCGTCTACCACTTCGGACCAGAGATCCTACTCGAGAACGGGGAGATCGACCGGCAGAAGCTGGGTCAGCTCATCTTCGCCAACGAGGAAAAGAGGAAGCTGCTAAACTCCATCACCCACCCAGAGATCCACAAAGCAATGCTCAAAGAGATCCTGTTCTACTTTCTCAGAGGTGAAGGGAGGGACTGAGTTTGGCTCAGTTGTCAGTTAACAGGGAAAAGGGGGTTGGGTGGGGGTTTACTGAAAATGAGCCATGGCTGTTTTGCAGAGCAGCGATGGCCATAAGGGTTTTAGGCTGTTTCTGACAAAGCTCTCTGCAAGCCAGAAAGTGAGATATTTTAGAATATTCCCAACATTTCCTCAGGTAGGAGGTGAATATATCTCAGATGAAAGTAGTGAATAGTTGCCTTTGCTGTAAACATTTTGCAACAGCTGTGACTTCCACTTGCTGCTTTAAAAAAATGCATATATTGTTAAAAAGTAGTTTCACTTAATTGTGTTACCTGTATTGTCATGTTATAGTGTAAATGTGTTCACACTCATTTAATTGTGTTTCACAATACTTACCGTCCTCTTCTTTCTCCCTAGGGTACCGCTATGTGGTGCTGGATGTGCCCCTTCTCTTTGAAACGAGGCGTCTCACTCAGTTTCTAAACCACACAGTAGTAGTATACTGGTAAGACCACCGTTCTTATAAACTGTTTGTTTATAAGTGTCCTATTTTAAATCATAAAATTTTTGGAGGTTTGCTTTTGACAGAAACAGGCCATTAAGCCCAGTTTTGAGACTTATTGGTTACCTCTCTTCAGCTGTCTTTTCGTGCCTTATTAGCATGACTCACCTCCTCCTCCGCCTCTGGATTTTTTAACAAGACATCCTGGCTGCACCATAAATAACCTCTTTTGTCTGTTCCTTTTCAGTGACCCTGCCACTCAGCTATCGCGCCTGATGCAGAGGGACGGCCTGACCCAGGAGGAGGCCGAGCAGCGCGTGGCTGCACAGATGCCACTCAATGAAAAGCGCGGCTTGGCTAATCATGTTATTGAGAACTCAGGCAGCCGGGAGGACACCCACCGGCAGGTCCTGCGGTTGCACACAAAGCTGGAGGACTCCATGGACTTCCTCTTAGTGAGGGTCATTGCAATTGCAGCCACTACTGGTCTGGGTGGGATTCTGCTGTATGCTGCAAAGATACTTCTATCCTAACGGAGCACAGATGAGGGGAAGAAGGGGTTTGATCCAGGATGTGGTCAAAGATGAGGGTGTGAATAGAAGCAGACGAAGGCATGTGGGGGGTACTAATGCAATTTACTGTGAGATTAGTTTCACAGCATCCACCGCCACAGCTCAGAGGTATGACGTGCTCTGTTGGCAGTTAATACAGACTTACATTATTGACACAACATGCACTGACAAAGATGATTTGGTGTGAAGGGTTTCTATGTGCAATTTCAGTTGGTTTTACTTGGAGACACTAAAAACATGAAGGTGATACCTTAGAGGCTCAGCTGCTGTACAACGCTCTTAACAGCGATCACAGTTTGGGGCCTACTGGTTAAACCTTTTACTTTGATGCAGCAGTCAATTCATAACTAACATCAGTGAAAAGGGCAAAACTTGATTTGACTTGACAAAATTTTAATTTGTCACAACTTATGAAGTTTCCAAATTAGACATTTTGGATGATTGTAGAGTCACTGTGGTTACTTGTCATGTATTTGGCACAAACTGCCCCTTAAATATTTAGTACAAAATGCCTGTGCTACCCCCAGTCATGAATATGTTTTAAATTGGAGGGAATACTCGTCAAAGAAATATTAAAATGCTGTATCCGAATGATGTTATGCTAACAGAATGTTATTGTATGCTAATGACCTAAATTATGAAGATATAAGACAGAATGTATTTGACAATCCATTTGTAATGGGAACAGTGTGAATTTTCATGAATTAACAGACTTTATCACTGTATTTTCTTACACTCGAAGCTGTCCTCTGTAAATAAGAAGTATGTGAATTCTACTTTTCTGTGTACACTCACTTGTAACTAAAACAACATTTGTAACATTAGCTGCTTAACTGAAATATAAACGATCCGACATTACCGTTTTAAAGTAACAACTGTCAAATTTTTTGTTATTTTTAGTTTTAGTGCTGATTCATCCTGAAAATTTAAAGTGTCCCTCCACTCAAAGTAGATGTCTAGTAGTTAAACTTTTTTAAAGGTAGATGTTATTTTAAGAATTGTTCTTGAAGTAATCAGAATTTTTCAGACTCAAATTATTATTTAAGGCAGAGTAGTTTTATATGTTTTAAAAACATGTCTGGTATGGATTTTTAGATAACTTTGGTAAAAACTTTTGATAATGGTCAAAATTAAAGCAACAGCGGCTGAGATGTCCTTACTTTTAGTCACTAGTGTGGGTCAAACTCCAAAAACACTGGATCCTACATTTCCCATAATGCAACTCAGTAGTATATTGTTTGTTAGACCTCCCCTGCCTGATAAATGCCCATATCATTCAAACCCCACACCTCCAGATTTTGATGCAGGCTTTCTGTTGAAAATGTGATGTCTCAAGCCCAATCCAGGACAACCCTGATGACAACAGGGTTATTTTCTCAGACTTGAGAGAAGTGATCTGCATATCTGTACCAATAGAATGCCACTATTAGGGCTGCAACCGACCACTCCTGATTATTTTATTGATTAATCGATTGTTTTGTCAAGAAAATAGCGTAGACTGTCTGTCTGCCCAAGGTGATGTCTTCAGATGTCTTGTTTTGTCCGACCAACGGTCCAAAACCAAATATTTTCTTTTTGTAATCATTTACAAAAATATGAAATCCTCACATATAAGAAGTTGGAACCAGCAAATGTTTGACATTTTTACTGAAAAATTTGCAAAGTTGTTGCTTGATTTTCAGATGATCGACTAATCACAGCACAGTAGCGCCTATAGTAATGAATATAAATCATATTGACAATATTAAATGCCTCAACTTCCAACCAGATAATCTGCAAAAGACATTGATGTAATTAGATCCTACAGGAAAATGTGATAGTGACAGGACTCCAGGAGAAGAAAATAATGAACTTGTATTAATGGTCAGTTGTGATGTCCTTGCTCTTGTCAACGTTTGAGCTTAGGCATGAGAATTCAGGCCCACAGGCAGGCGTGGTGACATCATCCTGGCACTGAGGTCCCACTTGCCTATGTGGCTCACTTGGCTCTGTCTGAAGCCCCTTCCTGGTCTGTTCTGTGTTTTTATCAAGCCACTGAAGAATTAATGCAAAGTGACTCGGGCTGTGGTGGGCGGGGGTCAGTGAACCAAGGCTGCATCACTACACATTTGGATACATATGTAATACACAAAATCACAACTACAAACACAATGCAATCTTTTACACAAATGTAAACAGCACATACAATTGTCCGCCTCATACACACAGTCACACTGTAACATGATCACTCCAGGGTTGGTCGTCGTACAGGGCCATGAAAAAGAACATGGACTATTTTTAGGTTGCTTTTTTTTAAACCTGGTTCCATCATGATCCAGGGGGTAACATGCTTTACTGGGCAGCCAGCTGTTCAGCAGAGATTTCCAAGTGTGCTTTTCTCAGTCTCTTTCTCACACACAGGCAGAGGCCAGATGCAGAGCATGGAAGGAGGACTATATCTGTACCAGCAAGTGTGAATGCCCCAGGCAGAGAAGGGTGGCAAAGTCTCAGTCTGAATATAAATTGGTTTTAATTCTGAAGGTGTCAAGCTAAAAGGTGAAAGTCTTAAGTTGCCTTGTCACACTTTGTAAAAGTATCTGGATTCAGGCACAACCCGCCTCTTTCTTGTGTGTTGTGGGTCCTTTCCGGAAGCAGAGAAAATCATTTTCTGATGGCGGGGGGTAAAGACATCTATAATCTCATGATCATGTTCAGAGAGTTGGCCTACGGCACCACAGTGTGTCGACATTTTGGAATCTCCTGTCTGAGTGGTTTTTCATCATTTCCCCCGCCTACCTCCATCAGGGGAGGTAGAACAGCTTGGGCAAAGGCAAAAAATATATATATAAAGCTTTGCTTTATATATATATTTTCTAAATATTTTCTAAACTAACTTTCAATAAGTATTGCATTAGTCAGTGTTGTTTTTAGTCTTGATTGGTTACACAAGGGGCTCTTTTTTTTTTACCACCCAGTGAAAGTACATGCCACCACAGAGGGTGATAGGCTAGACTAGTGCATGTGGACATTGAGCATGTTGGCTAACTGTCATGGCTTACTGAGATGGAGCCATCACCATTACTGTTATTAGTGACACCTGTGTTTCGTACAATGCTAATATGTTTGTTGTGAAAAGGGCCTATTGTGCTATATAATGTTGCATTTAAGCTCTGTTTAAAATTGAATTTAGAAGTTGTTTTATTCTGATTAACACAACTAAAAAGAGAATAACATTTAGACAGAAATGTGATTTTGATACAACCCTAGCTGTCCCCTACCCTGTAATGCGCTATGCTATGCTTCTACACACTAGCAATTACAAAGTAGCCTTGCCCACAGCTTACTGAAAGTGTGAAATTTGGTAGAAATAAAAGGAAGAATAAACAGATATCCAAATTAAGATGCATTTATCCTCAAGACATACAGTAAAGACATTGATGTTGAGCTGCTCCTCCTCCTATAGCACATCTATAGAGACGCTACACACATACTGTACATGCATCCATGTTAATTATTGTCATTTACAGATAATACAGCCTTTGAACATGTTTGATTAATTCAGTATAAGAACTTCTGTTGCTATATGGTAATTAGTGGTAATTAGGACCAGTTCCAGTAGCCTTTGTTTTGTTGTTTGATTTAGTTAGTGCAAGTGATTGAGTAGGGCAATGTAGACACCAGTCTGTAGGTTGGAATGCTTTAAAGGAAAAAGACACCCAAAGACAATTTAGCAACATGCTAGCGAGGCTGCACTTCCACACAGCAGTGCTTTCAGCTAAATGCCAAAGCTAGCATGGCGTAATGCTCATAATTACAATGCCAACATGCAGATTATTAGCAGGTATAATGTTTAATATATTCACAACATTTGATTATTAACATCAAACATGCAGCTGAGGCTGAATGTCGTTAAGTTTTTAAAATTTTGACCTGATGAGGGCGCTTGAGGAAAAATTCAGAGAGAAAAGTCAGGGGATCACCAAAATCAGTATGATTCATTGTTAGGTCACAATGGATAATGTACCATATTTAATGGCAATCCAATAAATAGTTGTTACAGTAGTAGTAGTAGTTGATATTTTCCAAAGTATTAGACCAACCGACGAATATTGCCACCTCTAAAGCCATGTAGCTAGCATGGCTAAAAACAGGTATTGGCAAAGTAGGTGTGCTTTTCTTACTGTCGCAGATAAGTGACCAGAAGTACAGTAGATGACACAAACGTCTGTCAAGACATTTCCTGTGTAGCTGCAATGTTTGATTGCACATCATTTTGTAATTATCTAAAACATCAATACTAAGTGTTTATTTAATGTAAAACATTCCATGCAGAGGAGGTAAGTATAGATACTATTGACCTCATTGTGCCAGAAGATAAAGGATCCACACCTCCCACATTTATGTTTTTTCATTTGTTAAGTGTAACAGCTTTTTTTTTAATAACTGCCAAGGTTGGCTGGCACTTTTTCTTGACTTGAAAGCTTGTTTTGACACCACAGTCACAATTATTGTAGCTGTCTTCATGTGGATTCAAATAACAGACAGAGCTGAGAAAGGTCTTTCTGGGAAATATTTAAGCGAAGCAACAATCAATGACGCAGATTAAAGACAGATGGGTACAAAGAAAAGTGTAATTACTTTTAAAATGCAAAACTCTTGAAATGCAGTATCTCCTGGAGTGTTTTGGGCATCCAAGGTTGCTGAGCTCTAGTTGTGCAAGAGGGTGGATTTATCTTTTGAATCTATTAAACATTTTTACAATTAGACTTGGTTAGTTTTTAGCAGATGAGGACCATTTCTTTAAGACTAAATGTTGAAATGTTGTGTTGACATAGTTTTTGATCATTTTGATAAAATAAAAATTGACAAAGACAGCAAGGATGAAAAACCCATTGGTATGGCCACTGACCCTTAGCACAGCAGGTCACACTAACAGGTAGAATAAACTGGCTTGAGCAACTGTAACATCTGTAGTGTTCTTGAACTCTGGCATCTGGTGTCATGCTGAGGAAGGGGCACTCGCAGCGCCTCCGTAGCTCATTGTCAGGCTGCATTCATGAGACTGCAATGAGGGGCAGAGACAGGCAACACGCCAGCGGAGCGTCCCCGGCCACATGACTCAACCTGTCCCTACGTGTTAGCCCCGGCTCAGTCAGGGCCATGGGGGAACAAGGACGTTGGTATTGAGTCAGTGACACACTGGACAGTCCCCAGAACATGCATGATGATGGGGAATGAAAGTGGGGGATGCATGTTGTCATGTTCTACAAAGGAGGGCTAGGACAAGAGGTACTGCACCCATGCATACATTCTCTAATATAATGCAAGATGATAATTTTGTGCATGTATGTCTGCCCTAGTTGTGTGGTAGGCAGGATGAATACACATAAGGGAGGACATTCATCCTGCGTACCACACAAGTTACATCTGTTCACAAAATTACAGTAGATCTTGACCACAAATTAAAGGTGCCCTGTGGAACAAACAGAAGTTATGTTTACGTTCAGTGTCACTCACCAAAACGCATTGTGTGTGTCTTTGAACAAATGGAATGAATGTATTTCCTTCCTCATAAAATCCAGCATTGTTTATATCCACATTCACTATCTTGCAGTCTTCATGTTACCTGTTTTTGTTGGAGCATTGCTACATAGATCAACAGAATAATTTGAGACCACTGGCAGAAGTGTGTAAGCAACACTGGAACATTGGTTAGCAATTAAGGAACACTTTATAATACAACCTGCACATTACATGAATTTTGTGTTCTTTATTATTTATTGTGGCTATATGGTAACCCTACATAAAAGCTGGACAGGGTTCTCTTTAACAACTTCTGTATTGTATATCTCTATACCATTTTTTTTCAGATGGACTTTTCTATTGCGGCAAC